TTACTTTCCAATGGCTCCTCTTGCAGCTGCACCTCTGCTGCCCAGTCTGTGAGATGGGAACATCTGATGGAGACGCTGTTGCATAAACTTCCAAGCTTATTCTAAGTAGAGGTATTAAAAATCTCAAAGGAAAGGCCATACAGGAGATCTTAGCTTTGATTTGGCAGCCTCAGGAGGCCCAGAGAGTTTGGGATATTGTCCATGCAACTGGATGGAGCGTGCAGGTCTTCTGAACATGTCCTTACACGCTGCAGAAACGTCTCTTTTCTCAGTGTTCTATTCCACTTGCACAAAGAAAGGGGAGGAATGGGCAACACGGGGGGCAAACGGGGATCTGAAAGAACAAGCACACAGACACCTCTGTGCTCACAGCACAGCCAAAACACCTTCAGCTGCATTTGAGCTGCTCCTGGTGCAACCATAGCAGCAACATTGGCACAGACAAGGAGCTGCTTTTGCAGCAAGGAAGCAGTCGGTCTCTGCTGTCCCATGCTGCTGTCTCCTCCCCACCTCACACCCAAGGCTTGGCCCCCAGCACTCACTGAACCTCCTTGGGGTAGAGACCCAGAGGGCTCCACAAGGAGGCAGAAAAGCAGCAGGTACCCCATGGAGCTGGGATGCCTCCATTGCCATGCCTTGCCCAGAACAGCACCACTGCCCGAACAGAGGCTTTGCACAAAGCCTTCCAGGAGGCAAAAGTCAGTTTGAAGATTCCCACCCTCTTTCCCTTCAAAACTGATCTGATCAACCTCAGTTCCAATGGCACATTCAGGGTTGCTCAGCTCAGCAGATCCCGAATGGCACCTTCTTCAGACCCACTGGTCCAAGTGGCCTTGGGTGAAGGCTGGGGTGATGCTTTCACTGAGGACACATTCACTAACCACACAGGACTGCTCATCTGGCTCTACCTAGTACACAACTATTTACAGTGTCACAGCTCCCTGTGTTACTGGCTTGTGGTTTAGGGTACAAATGCAATTCTGCAATCGGATGGCTGAAGCTGTGTGGCATTTTAATGCATCTTTGATGTCAGTTATTTATCCACCTCTGAACGTTTTTTCTTCTCTCCATGGCACTTGAGCTTCCCCTGATGTCCAAGCTCATTCAAGTCTGGTTTAGTTTCATTTAGTTTGCTGAGCTGAGTCCCAGAGCCAGGTAAGCTCTGACAGCACTGGAAACGGGATGGAGAAGAGCCAGTGACAGGCAAGAACATGGCTGGGCTGCTGCCACGGAACCAGCTCGAGGCACAGGAGCATCATAGCGACCATGCTGGGAGCTGCCCTTTGCCAACCTGCTGGGGACAGGGTGAGGGCTGTGGGCAGGTCGGTGCTCCTCATCCCCTCTGGCTGCTTGGGACTTATGGAAACCTTCTCTGTAGGTCATGCGCACCAGAGGAGGGAAGCGCTCTGACCCTTTCCATGCAGACTTGAACTTGCACCGGGGTGCTCTGAACCAGCAGCATGCAGGAATGTCACCCCTTTAAGAGCTTTAAGCCCTCTTGCTTTTGTCCTCCACGCGCCCACCCAAATTGCTTCCTAGATCATGGCATTTTTGGGTGAAGTACAGTTGAAGGAAGGAGAGAACTCATGTGGGGATGGGCCGCTAGGATTTTAAGACAGTGTGTTGAAGGCACTGCTGTGATGAAGGTCTCTGTTGCCACCACGTCGGGTGACTGCACTCATCATCCCTACTGTGTTGCAACACTGAGACCCTGTGGGAAGGTATCACCATCCGGCACGACCACATCCAGCCTCCTCTGCTGCCAGGGATGCTGCCCACCAGCAGTGAGGCCATGGCAGTGCTTTGGCTTCTCAGCACTGGTTCCTGCTATGGATCTTCACGCAGCTGCAGACTGGTCCATGCTGCATCACACAGGGGCTGCAGCACTTTGGCCGTGCTGGCTCTCTTTTAAACATAAATTCATCCTTTATGGCAAGTGGACCACTTCACGTCCACATCCTCTGCACTTTGCTGGGCTGCAGCATTGCGGTGCTCCACAGCGGGCTTCATGCAGAGACAAGCTTGCCTGTAAGTTAGACTCTTGTATATGGGTTTTTAATAAAGGCTTTCAAGGTGGAGAAGAGTTTGATTAGCACCTTGCTCCCCCTTGGAGTGGGTGCTTTGATTGCTCATGAGCAGAAGATTAAATGGAATTATTCAAGCAGTGACACCAGGCAGAGAGATCCCGGAAAATGACGTCTCCCGCTTTGATGTCGGAATACGTGAACCAAAGTGAACTGGAGAATCAAAACACCAACGGGCCTTGCAGGAGGCAGGGGGCAATGAGAGGGATGTGAAATGGTTTCATCTAAGGCAATGTCACTGCCCCCTCCTGACCGAAACTGGAGTCCAGTTTGCTGCAAGTGCAAAGAAAATGCCATTTTGATCTGAAGCTTCCTCTTCCCAAAGGAGTAACGGAAAAGTCGGATGCAAACAGGGCAATGGATTACAAGAACTTTGCCCCAAGGGGATGTGTTGCTTCCTTCCATATAATTGCCTGTAAAGATCCATAATTAATGTCAACCACCACAAGTAAATACGTGGCAGATTATTTATAGGCCACCATTTCCACCCAGCACTATGCCGTCCCCACGCCATCCTCCTAATGCCTTTCCAGATGATGGAAGCAGAGATGTTGCTACTGCTTCCCTCCAAAGTCAGCCAAAAGTGTAATAGCTTCCTGGTTTGTAAAGTGCTTCTGCTGCATTTCCTCTCCTCCTCTGCTCAAATTCCTCCCACAGCACACAAGACAGCCTCAGTTTCCCCTCTTAGCACTCTCCTGTATTCATGGAATACAGACCCTGTGTTTGGACACCTTAGATCCTTTGAAGCCTTGCTCACAAACCAACCCCTCTGGGCTCCCCCCATTCCTCTCCCTGACCCTCCCTCCCTCCCTCCCCATCTTTACCTTTCAGGATAATCCCAGTTTATGGGGCCTTTTCCAGGCTCCATTCAAGGGGATGGGAGAGGCTGCTAAGGGGCAAACTGTCCAAGCAGGGCTGGCAGCCCATCACCCCACACATGAGCATCTCGAGCAGGGAGACCTCCCATGTGCCACCTCTCCTGCTGCCTGCTCATGGGAGAGCAGGCAGCTAAAATGCATGTGGAGAACAGACTGGTCCCCAGCATCACTGCAGCACACACTCTCAGGCTGCCCCACAAACCCCATGCCTCAGAACCCAGGGGATGGTCAGGGACCTCACTGAGAAAATCCTGGAGGAGAGGGAATGACAAAGTGGCTGCTCATGGGGTGCTCCTGGCCTGAAAGTAGAGAGGAGGAGGAGGAGAGTCAGTTTAAAAGCAGCTACTCAAAAGCCTCTCAAATAGATGTGAAGAAAAGAGGACCAAGACTTGGGCTGTTGAGCTGGTCCATGTTCACCAGCAGCCAGGTGATGAGGAGCCAGGTCTTTGCTTCGGGCAGTACTCGTATTTTGTGAATCCTGCAGAGGTAACTATTCAGACTAGAAGTGTTTGGGAACTGTTTGGAAACCACTGGGAAGAGCTTTCTTTGGGTTTCAGAGTACCATAAAAATATGGTGAATGAGCTGAATACAAATACCCAAAACAATGACCACAGTGAAGAATACAGATCTGGAAATCCCTCCTAAGCTGTGTGCTGGATCACTGCGAACAGCAGCAACAGAAACCAGTGAAAAAAGATGAGAACCTGCACATTTTGTGTCTTTGCAGTCAGATTCACTGTGCAGAGAAGGATCCCTGGGAAGGGAATTCTGATAATAGGCAGTAGGAATCCTGCTCTGCTGCTCAGTCCCTCCTCCAGCTCTCTCCTGCCTCAGTAAATCCAAGCCCTCCAGTTACAAAGCTCAGGCTGTTGTAAATGTCAAGAACTTATTGCACAAGGTTGATCATTAGCATTAGTATTCTCTTCCAGAGTATTAACAGGGCCCAGAAAAACTCACAGAAGTGGATTACCCAAAGAAAGTGGACTTGGCATGGCTTTTACTGAACTGTAATTAAAGCAAGTAGCTTCCTGAGTACTTCTCTACATGCTTTTATCCTCCCTTGATGCTGGCTCCCCTTAGGACTGCATCTTGAGACCAAGAGCCTGGTGGACAGGGAGCCTGTGGTGACTCTCCTGGGCTTCTCTGGTGGAGGAGGGGGAGATAGGAGAATGGATTTTCCTTTGACACACACTGGCTGCAAAGTAAGGTCCCAGTTTGGCACAGCACTGCCCGGGCAGGACTGAGCTATCTTGCCTGAAGCTATTTTGCTGCCACTGCCAAGCCAATGCTGTCCCTATTTGTATTTCCATGAGCCCTCATCACGCTGTCCTCCCTACTGCAGCCTGCACAAAGATCAGCATTTATTAGACAGAGAAATATTTACAGTGTTCCTTCCCCTCCTGGCACTCTACAAATGGACACACATAAGCTTTGGTGTCTTGGAAAGAAATAACACTCACAAACACTTGCCTGTCACTGGCCACAAGAACATGTGCCAGTGGGGCCAGCAAGGAACTGAATAGAACAACACGCCGAGACAGAGACAAGACAGCAGCGCTAGCTGGCCGTGGAGCGCTGGTTAAGGTTTTCCCTTGCCTAGAGCAAAGATCTCTTTCTCAGTGGAAACACACATTCTGGGCCTGACCCTGGGCAACATTGCTAATGTTGACTGAGAACCTCAAAGCTGTGCTCATCAATTCTGCAAGTCAAACAGAAAAGCAAGAAACATCTCATCTCACTGCACCGAGTCTTTTCAAGTATCACTCACTGTAAACATGGTGGGGTTGTTGGTTTTTACTGCAAGAAATCAGAGGTGCTGCCAGAAACCCCCCAAAACCCAACCCAGGAGCCCTGCCCAACAGGGAGAGGGCAGCCAGCCCCTTCTGCTCCAACTGGACCAGCAATGTGCCAACTGGGTATGGCCACGGCCGAGGGTGCTGCTGGCTCACCATGGAGGCTGGCAGACAGCAAGATGGGATGGGGGAGAAGGGGAAAGCATTTAAAATCAGGTCTTTCCTCATTCAACAGAAAGTGGGATTTAAAAAATATATATATATTGACACTATATAAATACATAAAGCTGGATTTCAAGACAGATTGGATGATCTGATGGTTTCGCAATTCAGGTAAAGTTCCTCTTAGAGCCTCTAAGTTACTCAGCCACTGAACTGTTTTCTTGCTCAGCTGCTGTTTTACTCGTGTAAAAAGGTGTGGTGCAAACTTGTGCTCATATTTCTTGATAAGATCCCAAAAAAGAAGAACATTTTGGTTCTCCAGACTTCCCAATTGGCATAAGAGTCCATTCGCAGGATGCCTGAGCCGTGGCCTCAGGAGTCTCTCGAGGACAGGAGTCAGAGCTGAACCTTGTTCCTTCTTGCCAGGATTTTCTCTGTGGCCTCTGTGATTTTTGCTCTATTTCTCTTTTTTTCTTCTTTCCTTTTTTTTTTAAAAAAAAACCTTTAAATAAAGTTTTATTTTCTAATATACATCAAACAATTTTCATGCAAAGCAGCAGTCATGGAGACATCCAGACTTTCCAGGTTCCTTCTTTCCATGTATGCTTGAAAAAAAGATCCATCTTGATTTGACTTGGATTGAGATGCTTTGTATTTTTTCTCTTCCTGCCTTTTCAAACCGGATCCTGTATGATTTGGAACACAGTCAGTCCTTGGGCCTGTCTCTGCTCCCTCCAGAACGGCCCTCATATTTATACGTGTCCAGTGCCTTCCTTGCTTGTTCTCCCTCTGAATTCCCGAGAGTCTGTGCAATCCTCTGCCCTTTGCTGCCAGCTGAGCACCGCAACCCTTCTTCAGCTCTCAATAGACATGGCACCTATGAGTTGCTCTACTTTGTATGCCAGACGCTGCCTACGTGCCTGTTCATCCTGCTCCAGAGCCCCAATGAGCTGGTACAGAAAAAGGAAGAGGAAAAAACACAAGAGAAAGAATCAGTACGTGAGAGGGGGAGGTGGAGGTGGGTGGGCAGCAAGATGTGAGCAACTTGAAATGGGGATGTGTGAAACTTAAATAACAAGCAGCAAAGCAATGTGCTGAGTGCTTCACCGCAGCTGTGCCACCCATTTGTTGGACTTCTCGGTGCAAGAAAAGCATGTTATCATGCACCACCATCATTCCCACTCTTGTACCTTGGACTCTACATTTCTTGTCTCATTTAGCAGGAAAGTAATGAGATTTTTAAACCCTCATCGAGTGGCATTGTATTACAAATGCATCCATGCAATTAAATGACAAACCCCTTCCTTTTAATGGGCATAATGGCAAAATCGGTTCGTCTTATGCTGAAATGAAGGGGTGGAACAGATGGTGAGAACTTGGTTTCAAGTGATGCATTCATTAAAGGCACTCACATTGCCAGCAATTCTTTGCAAACAGGAGTCTGCGTCACTACAACATGGGATTTGTACCATGCTGTTCCCAAAAGATGGGGATGTTTCTGAGGAGCTTCACTGGGTCATGACGATTTTCCACTGCATTTAAGAGGGGGCTGCGCTGGGTGTATGCCAAGGCTGAGGAATCCAGTTGCTCCCACAGTATTTTAGATATCAAATATTATGGAAAGCATGCTACGGGCATGGCCAGGACCAGAATCTCTATGTGCATGAACAGAGCAAGGCAGCAGTGGTGCAAGCTACAGCTGTGCTGCATCAAGGACAAAGAGGAAGGCACAAGGGGGATTGTTGCACATCCCAGTACTGCACAGAAACACGGCTCCTCTCCTATGCTGTGTGTGCACCACAGGGCAGCATCACCTCTGTGCCTACCCCAGGGGACACCCACCTCCTCACTGTACTTGCTGACGTAGGAGTAGATCTCGTTGAGCGCACTCAGCATGTTGAACTCGACGGAGTGCAGGCGCGACTGCTCGGCGAGGTAGGCATTCATGTCCTGGTCACTGATGGCAGGGAGCTTGGCGATGTCTGCGTAATACCTGTGGGAAGAAAGGCTGTGGGAGGCCATGGGAAACTAAAACTGTCCCTCTTCTCCTTGGGATTGAAACTAAGACTGCAGGGAGAAGGACATTGTTTTGCTTTATGCTTACATCTAGCAAAACATGATCCTGTTCTGTAAGAGGCTCCAGTGTCTGAAGAGGCTGACAAGAAAGCTGGAGAGGGGCTTTTAACAAGGGCGGGTAGGGACAGGACAAGGGGAATGGCTTTAACCTGCCCGAGGGGAGACTGAGATGAGCTCTTAGGCAGAAGCTCTTCCCTGTGAGGGTGCTGAGGCGCTGGCACAGGGTGCCCAGAGAAGCTGTGGCTGCCCCATCCCTGGCAGTGCTCAAGGCCAGGTTGGACACAGGGGCTTGGAGCAAGCTGCTCTAGTGGAAGGGGTCCCTGCCCGTGGCAGGGGTTGGAACTGGAGGAGCTTTGAGGTCCCTTCCAACCCAAACCTTTCTATGATTCTGTTCTATGAAGTTGAAAACAAGAGCAGTGATGCTCAGCAGGGCTGTGCCTCCAGCTCACTGCAAGAGCCACCCTTGCATCATCACCCACCAAGGGTAAAGCTGCTTCTCCCCATGTTCTGCTGCTCACCTCTCCACCCAGCTCTTGTAGCTGGGGATGTCCTTGGCGTACAGCAGCTTGTTGGAAGGGGAATCCTTGCCCAGGCGGTGCTCTGAGGTGGAGCATGAATCCATGAAGGTCTGAGCCACAACAGAGAGGCAGGCATCTGTGATGCTGCCTTTGTGGATATCAAACACAAACTGGGGGTTTTTGATGACATTCACCCAGAATCGCAGAGGCAGGCTGTCAAGAAACCAAATTAGATGTTAAAACAAAGACTAGGAAAGGACACGTGCTGCAGTTTGTGTTCCCAAGCAGAATATGAATGGTGGGAAGCAACAGTAATCTGGCCAGGAGCTGGGCCAGGCCCATCCAACACCAGTTAGCCCACTGCCGCCCAGATTGCTTGTCATGGGTCATGCTATGCCTGAGCAGTTCCACCAGGAGCCCATTAAACTGAGTTCATTAGAGCAGGAGCCTATGGCAGGGCTGAGCTGCTGCCTGGTTACTCCACAGTCCATCATCTGCTAAGTGGTGCAGCAGGCATCAGAGGCTTTGTCCCCAAATCCCGAGGCCTTTGTAATCAAAGGGGAATTATTATTCCTTTTTTCTTTGCCTGTATAGCAGGATCAAAAAAACAGCTGCTGCTTTCTATTACCTTTCAAGTCTCGGCTCTCTCCATCTATTCAGCTAGCTGCACGGAAGACTTAACCCTTGCTGCACTTCAGGCAAGCAGCTCAACCACATCCCCAGCAGCACAGCTCTACCGACCCCCAGCTCCCTTTTCCAAGCCATTTGCTTCAACCTGCTTCAGTGGCACAACACTCCCCCCCGCCCCCATCTCCCCAGTAAAATTCCCATTTGGGAATGCTGCAGCCAAGCAAAGTGCTCAGCAGAGCTGTTAGTTCAGAGACCAAATTTCTGCCCTTCTCCTGAGCCTCCCAGGCCCCAGGTGCAGAGGGAAGGACCAGGGCTCTGTGGTCTGATGGCTCTGGCAGAGCAAACTCTGCTGGTTGACACTTGCTTTTTTATTGCTTTAAGAAGTCTCATCTTTTCTTGATGATTCAAGAGTTTTTATCCAAATAACTCCTTCTTTTAGGCTATCAGTAAACAGTTTTTAGCCTCCTGCAACCTTAGCAGGGAACCCAGCTCTTGCAGCCACAATGGTTAGAGGCCTTTTAAACCACAAGGGACTTAGGTTTGAAAATACAAAGTCTTCAGGGAGCAACCATTTGTGGTGCCTTTATTTTTCCTAACCCGTGTTAAATTTCTAACCCACAGAGCTTTTAATCCTAAAATAACAGCAGCAGTGTAAATGTGAGAGCTCTTATTGTTTGGAGGAGGCTGAACCTGGATGCAGTCTATGCTGGCTCCTTCCCCCTTTGCCACCTCCTTCTGCTGCCCAAATCCTCCAGCTGCTGCCCGAAGTGATGGGGAAGATGTAGCAGGCACTGAGCAGCCTGTGTTGGTATTCATGGTGGTGCAGGCAGGGTGGTGTAGGCAGGATGGTGCAGGCATGGAGCAGACTTTGCAAACCCAGTGATATCCAAAGTCCATGAGTGTGGATCTACAACCTGAGGACAGTGCTCAGGACCAAACTGGGTAGAGGACCCAGAGACACCCAATTCTGCGGTTCAACACTGCACCAGGATTTCAGCTCATGTGTGCACATGGGGCAGCACGATCCAGGAGCAAACCCCACGGCCATATACCCATGGGGCACTGGGGCAGCAGTGGTGCTTGTTGAAAAGCATCAGCATGACTTCACGGTACATTCCATGCTTTGGAGATATGGGGCTTGGTTGTTCCCAGCCTTCGTGAAGCTCTTCCCTATCTGTTTTTCTCTAGCACACAAATAACTGTGCCTCCCTCCACCCTCTTCCTCCATCCTTACCAATTGCTCTTCCACGTGTGCCTCACGTCTGTGTCATGGATGCCGTGCTTATCTGCCTGCTCATCCAGGAAATCGAACATGTACTTGATGGCAAGCGGGAGCGCGCTGCCACGGTGCACGGTGCTGAACAGTGTCTCGAACAAGTCATCCACAAACTTCTGCAGCGTACCCTAACGGAAACAGCAAGGGAAGAGGTGACAGGAGGGATGGGCAGCTGTGGTAGCAAGGGGGATGCCAGATGGTGTTACTAGCTCTGCGCAGCCCCATAAAGTGCCACCATGGACCTCAAGGTATAAGTAAGGTCAGGGTCTTTACCAACACCAGGGGAATGCTCCAACCTGTAGCAAACCAACCCAGGGTCCTGGGAAAGCCCGACACGAACAGCCACCCCCAAGCATCATTAGGGGCCGCAAAGGCGAGTCTGTATAGACGAATCTCCCTATATACTTCTCAAGGGATCTGGTGCATGAAGTTACCTTTGTAGCTAAGAGCCTGGTCAGGTAGATCTCAGACACCATCTTACTGCCCCGGTCCCCTTCCTTCTGGTCTCCGTGGTCGTGGTTTTTGACCAAGTGCCAGACCTTGACACCACTCTCCAGGTCGGGGGTGATCATGGGGGCCCGGGAGCGCAGGCTGTCGGGGCTGCCGGTGTAGCGGAATGTGGAGTCTGAACAATGGGAGGAGAAGTCAGTCACGCTCATAGCAAACCCCTTGCTCATTTCCCTGTGTCTTCTCAGTGATGCCACTATGCTCACTAATGCCAGAATCACCCGCACTGGCTTTTGTATGGGGTAATGAAGCGTAATTCCACTCAGGCACCAAAAACCACTGCCAGGGATGGGGCAGCCACAGCTTCTCTGGGCACCCTGTGCCAGCGCCTCAGCACCCTCACAGGGAAGAGCTTCTGCCTAAGAGCTCATCTCAGTCTCCCCTCTGGCAGGTTAAAGCCATTCCTCTTGGCTTGTCCCTACTGGCCCTTGTCCAAAGCCCCTCTCCAGGTTTCCTGTAGCCCCTTTAGGCACTGGAGCTGCTCTAAGGTCTCCCCGGAGCCTTCTCCAGGCTGAGCAAGCCCAGCTCTCTCAGCCTGGCTCCACAGCAGAGCTCCTCCAGATCTCAGAACATGAATCACTGAATACAGTCCCTCAGATTCCAGCCCTTCTGTTTTCATACTCAGACATGGGACTTTCCTGCTTAATTCACAACCTTTACTTATGTAAACTCAGTAATCCAGATCCATACAAGTTGTAACTTGCTCTCACAAATCAATCCTGGGCACCAGCTCCTGCAGCACCAGAGTCCTGACATCTGTAATAACAAGCTGCCCAGCACAACCAGCACAAAGAGCAGAGGAAACTCTGTTCCTGGTATTGAGGCTTTCATTAGAGCAACAAGGGCTCCAGCTGAGCACCAATGGCAGAGCCCGAGGCCAGTCCTATATCCCAGCCTCCCATCCAGCCTCCCTGTGGTCCCTGCCTCTGCCCTCCTCCTGCAGAGAAAGGGAGCTCAAAGGGGAGCAGACAAAGGATTTTTCCCTTAATTGCTAAAAAACCATGGAGGGATGTGAGATCTATTTAACTTCCCAAAGAATGTGCCTCCCTGGATCCCATCCACAGTGTCTTCAAGGCAAGACCCAGGGCTGAGTGGCACAAAGGTGTGCTGCTGGGATTTTTTCTCTCCCTACATTTCTTTGTTCCCTGGGAACCCTGTGCATTTGCTCAAGTTTAGCCTCCAATTCCTTGCTCACCCTCCTCATGAAGAGTAAGGGGATCAATCATAAATCAGCCAAGGGAAATACAGAAGTCATTATGAAAGTAGCTAGATTTTCATCCCTGATTAAGGCTTAGATAAATGAGTACTCCGACTGATATAATTAAGGAGACAGACAGGGGGACAGCTAAGGAAGCATCTAGGAATTCTATTTTTAAACATAGCTCTGTGCTGATATATACCGGGGGAAGTAAATAAGTATCTCATTGAAATTCTGTCGGCACAATTAGAAGCATTAATCTTACGCATGAGCAATGATAGTTCATATTGGTAGCTTGCAAAAGCTTTTCCATCTGACACAGACCACTGAGCACCGAGGATTCGGGCTGTGTGACCCAGCCTTGACTTTTCCATCACCTGAAGCATGGGGAGTGCTGGGCACATGGGTGGACAATACCTCTCAGGGAGAAATGCCTTTTCTCCTGGCTTTTCCCTAAGATTCTCCTGTGAATGGCTCCTCAGAACCCTTCAATAACGTTATTTTGGGAGCTCTAAACAAGAAGAGGAGATGGGGTTTGTCAGGGGACCTCTCGTTTGTGAAACACTCTGTAAATTGAGAGATAATGAAAGATCAGCACACTGGAGATTTTGCCACTGCTGCCTTTTATGGAAGTCTATGATTACTATTATTGTGGGTTTAGTGCTATAAATGCACACCTGGCCCGTCACAGGCTCATTTACAAAGGCTGCAGTGTCTTCAGGGACCCTCTGTGAAGAGCTGAGCCTTGCTATTATGCAAATAATGAATTCCCAGGTGTGTACATCCCTGAACATTGCCATTTCCCATCTTTGACCCATTAGTTAAGAATTCAGGATCCTCCACTTAGAGAGCAATAGATGAAGGAATCAGGCTTTTCTCTCGTAGCCCTGCTTGTATGCAAGGGACACAAAGCTGCTTTCCTGCAGCATCCAGCCCGTCTGAGCCAAAAGCCTTTCCCTGGGCTTTTCCAAGCCCCACATTTCCAACAGCTGCTTACATGCTTGGCATTTCTTTTTCCCTCCTCTCAGTTCTCTAGTCTTTTTTTGCTGTTCTGCTCAGAGATGGAAAAGCCTTTCCAAAAACACAGCAGCCAAGGACATTTTGCTGTTTGGCACCAGAATGTACATTCATCCTGGCTGACGTGGTGCGGTTCTTTGAGGGAAGCAGCTGCTCTTTCTCAATCGAATTCCCTTAAAGTGTTGCCCCCCTGCATTAAAGGCAGCTTCATTACCAGCACCATCAAGATACATTTTCAAGTAAAGCTGCAAGCTCCAGTCTGGCTCAAAAATGTGCAGTGCAGCTGGAGCAATGCTCAATCGCTATACATGAGCCATTGTTTCGCAGCCCTGAGCTCTGCTTCTTACCATATCTGCTAATAGATGTCCGGGATATACTGGCAGAGGCAGGAATATTGTAGGAGGAGGTCTGCTTGGGAACGAGAGCCACAACAGAGCGGTCAGATACCTGAAGAGGCAAAGAAAGATCAGTGAGATCCACCATTCACACTGCGAACACCGGCTGCTCCTCCTGCAAACGCAGGCATGAAAGTCATAGCATCATGGAGCCATCTGATGGCTTGTCTTGGAAGGGACCTTAAAGCTCCTCCAGCTCCAACCCCTGCCACGGGCAGGGACCCCTTCCACTGGAGCAGCTTGCTCCAAGCCCCTGTGTCCAACCTGGCCTTGAGCACTGCCAGGGATGGGGCAGCCACAGCTTCTCTGGGCACCCTGAGCCAGCGCCTCAGCACCCTCACAGGGAAGAGCTTCTGCCTAAGAGCTCAGCTCAGTCTCCCCTCAGGCAGGTTAAAGCCATTCCCCTTGGCCTGTCCCTACTGGCCCTTGTCCAAAGTCCCTCTCCAGGTTTCTTGTAGCCCCTTTAGGCACTGGAGCTGCTCTAAGTCTCCCTGGAGCCTTCTCCAGGCTGAAGCTGCTGCTCACGCTGCTGGGGATGCAGCTCAGGACATAGGTGGTTGCTGGGCTGTCAGCGCACATGGCCAGGTCATGGTGAGTCTCCAAGACCCAGCCTGGGCTCTGTGCTGGGTCAGCAGCAGCTCTGCAGCCAGGGACTGAAGGAAAGGAGTGATAAATCAAAAGATGTACTGAAGATGTTTTTGGTTGTTCTGATTTAAGATTATGTTTTATCCCATAAAAATGAGCATCTCAAGAATTGTTGTGATCCAATTAAAGTAACAATGCAGAGGGAATAAAAGGGCTGTAATAACGTTATGGCCCATAAAACATTCCTATTAAAACATTTTTTATTTTAGCAATTTTTACAAACTTTAAAAGTTTGATTTACAGCTGAGCAAATCATAAAGCCATCTTTCAGGGTATTAAATTCAGTTCCTCTACTGCACCAGAGAAGGAATTAAATGCTGGGAAGTCAAACTATAAATGAACATTAGTGCTAACAAGATTTTGTTATAGCAGATTTTAGTAGCCATGCTTAATTTTATCCTCCCTATAAATCTAGTAGTCACTGGAAGTTTTTTAACTCATTTCCCTTAATTAAGGATCTGCAGGTTTCAAGGGAATGGCCTAAGTGTCTTTTAACATTGAACTTGTGGCTCGTGGTGCAGCACAAGGGAGCAGAGAGCAGAGGCACCACAAGTCTGCTCTTAGGCAGAAGCTCTTCCCTGTGAGGGTGCTGAGGCGCTGGCACAGGGTGCCCAGAGAAGCTGTGGCTGCCCCATCCCTGGCAGTGCTCAAGGCCAGGTTGGACACAGGGGCTTGGAGCAAGCTGCTCCAGTGGAAGGGGTCCCTGCCTGTGGCAGGGGCTTGGAACTGGATGAGCTTTAAGGTCCCTTCCAACACAAACCATTCTGTGATTCTATGATCTTACAGGTGATGGATCCACTGGGGCCCAGCCAACAAATCATTTAGAGAAGCTGCACAAAAGAAATGCCTCTTTATGCTGGAGAAATGCTTCTGGAGCTAAATCCTCCATTATTTGCCAGGAGCCCTGTCCCTACACATGGGGAAGCTCCATGGCAGCATCTAGATTTTGCTGGCCTGGCATCATCCTGCTCTCTCAGCACAAGGATGTTTGTACATCTGCTGCAGCAAGGTGACCTGCACACAACAATTTCCACCACCTTCAATGCTCCGGGTTCCATTCAGATGAAAGGTTCCATGTAAATGTGAGTTATTATTATTGCTAGTGATAGTGGAAATAATAGTCCCTTGTGTTTCCCAGTACAAAAGTCAGCTATTTTTAAGCAAAACACTTCAAACACCTCTGTTATTTCCTCTTCTGCTCCTGCCTCGCTTCATCCCACTGATTAAGTCAACGGTAGAAACAACCAGGGGTGATACTATTTTCTTAGGCTGTTACTAGCTGCCACTGCAGTTCCATTTCACTAGGGAGAAACCCTAGCGCGCCGGCAGCCCAGCATGTTCCCACAGAGGCAATAGCTCCCTGGCCACTGTGTTGGGATCTGTTTCCACCAGAGCTGTGGTTAACTGGGAGAGAAGCAGCATTACAAATTACATACACACACACAGAGAGCACTCTCACTCTCTAAATTTTGGGTTGAATGGCTCTTGCCAGCTAAAACCCACCAGCGTGCAAATGAGCATCAGATGTTACACACATTCACTTCCCATCTTGCTCTGCTGTTGCTACTTTCCCATAAAACCCCAGGGACGCCTGGGTTGAAAAAGAGCTGCCTGGCTCTTTTACAACTTTATAAATATTCCAATTCTTCTCCAAGCTGGAAACATGCTGTGCAAAACACCTTAAAGACAAGAAACCCCAAACCCAGAGCAGGGAGAGCAGTGGTGCAGAAGCCCAGATGAGAACACTGCGCTTGCGTGGGGTTGTGAGGATGCGGTGAGGATGGCAGCTCCACATTCACACCACCCTCGGCTCCCAGGTCTCATTTCCCACTCATATCTTCCCTCTCTGCTTCTAATTTCTCATTTAAAGCAGTTTTCTAGTCTCTCACCCTTTCCCAGCTCACAGTGGCTGACAGGTATTCATGCTCTGTTGCCTAGGAGTTAACCCTGCGTGAGCCACTGTAAATCATCTGATATTAAATCCAGTGTTTCATTTTTCTTGAGTAAAGCCACATGGGGTGAGACTCTCCCATGGAGTTTTAATAGGCATGAAACCAGAAGGATGCTACACAAATGGAATACAATTCCTTACAACATAGCTCTGGAGAATTTAACAAAGAATTACACCTATTTAACTTAACACATCTATATTTATAATGGAACAAGTAAGCAGCAGGGATACAATTCTCTCTATAATTCTATAAGGTGGTTCAAAAATGTTACAGAAAGATGAATCTTTTTCTCTAAATCCAATCTAGTTTTTCATGTGAAGGCTTCCCATGAAAAACAGATTTTATCAGTTGATGCAGACGTATATTGGATTTGTCATCCTAAACATACAGAAACCCAATATAACAGTGTCAAAATCCTCTTGTAGTTAAATCACTGCCCTCTGCAGAGCCTCAGCACCCTGCCCACAGCACGGTGAGCAGGAGGAGGCTGCTTTCACCTCCAGCTACTGCATGCAAATCCAGAAACCACTTTGCCTTCAGATCTGAATACAGACAATACAGCTCTGAATAAAAAATGATGAAAGCTTTACCTTTAGGTATTAGGCATTAGGGAATGACTTGAACCATACCTGCTTTATATGTAGCACACCTATTAAGCAGTGAGACAGTAGCCTTTGATACTCAAACGATTTTCAACCCTTTTCTAAGCTATGCCTTTGCCCACATCTTTTAGTCTGTAGTCCTGGAGCATCTGTATTTTGATACCTAATAAAAACATCTATTGCCCAAACAGAAAAAAAAACAAACAAAACCCTGGTAGGAATACCAGAAAAAAATCAAATATTGCTGTTTGGCTTTGGCAAAAGCTCTGCCTCAACAAGATTTCTGTTGCAATACAGAGAACTTGGCTTCTTTTTAATGCATGAACTAGCTCTGCTGGGCTGTGTACAGCTGGGGCCAGAGTGAGGAGAGGACATGAGCAGTTGGTACCTATTCAGATGCCTGGCAGCAAACTTTTGCTGTGTTCCAGAGCAAAAGTGACATTCAAATGGCAGGAACAGCTGCAACATCTTGAGTGCTGGAAGGATTTTGTTTATTTTAAGGGTAAATTTGTGGCTTGGATTTCCCCACAGGCATTGAAGTAAAAGGACTCCCTCCCCTAGCATCCAACACACATCAGACAAACACGGCTTTCACTTGTGTCTTCCTTAAGATGACTTTTAAACATCAAGGCATAATCAAGCCTTGCTGCTTCCCTGCATATTGGTTAATCCTTTGTAACTGTCAGGTAAAACAGATTTTAGAAACAACGGAGTTAACCTGCACAACTCCTATGACATTTTATGGTAATCTGTGTTTAAATCCTTTGGGCAGCTTGGAAAAGTCGACCCTCCTGGTGCTTTTTTAGATGTACTTTGTATATTTATGCCACTTTCTCTGCCTCGCTCCTTGATGATATGGCTCCTGTCAATACTGGCTCACATTCAACTTACACAGCATGAGTCATGCTGATGGACTCGAGACAGTGTATAAAAACAGGGAAAGATGCCAGATTAAATACTTAACACTTCTGTGCAGGTAGTGATGGACAGTAGTAGGTTACAGGTGCCAATTAATGCAGTTATCCTCTGTTGCAGACAGGCTTTGATTCTCTTTAACCAAAGCCTCCCCAGCTCCATCATTACCTCTCTTTCCATCTTTCCCAGACTATTAGAAGCCCTTTCTGACAGACGCATGCCTATCCAGAGCAGCCTAGGCTCAGGCATGCAGCCTTTCCTTCTTCACTCCTTGCATGATGCTCAAGAGTCAACACATAGGAAGCTCACAAGTACGAGAGATGAGCTGCTGCTGCAGCCTGTGCCTTGCATCAGGTCGTGTTGTGTCCGCAAAGCTCTGGAGGAAGGCAGAGACTCCTCTTCCTTCCCTGCCTCAGAACCCCGTGTGAAGACCTGAGCCACGCAGACCACCCTTCCTCTGGCCCTGCATCTCCAGCAGCAGCAGCTCAGCCATCACCACTGCTCTCTGTGTCTCACTAGCACAGCTGATGGGTTTAATTTAGCCAATTTTCAACCCTGCTAGTTTCTCTAAGATCCATGTCAAGGTTGTTTTCCCATCTAATGCGTGAGCACATTGAACCCTTCTGGTTTATCATACAAATGGGACTTCCCCATCTGTCTTGGTAGACAAGATACTTGGGAATTAAATCTTTCCTTTTCTTTTCTCCTAACAGTGTTCTGGGAGCTGTCTGCTGGGGTTGCTTTCTTACCTGATAATGCATCAAGGTGTTCAAGCGTTTCCAATCTCCTTCGATCTTGGTGGTGATGTCTTCATCTTGCAGGACCACACGAGCTATCCGGCCCTGCCGCCACTCTGCAGGAGAGGCAAGAAACCAGACAGACATATGGTCAGAGACAGAAAAGATACTAAAAGGCTCTATCTACTTTTGAATAGTAACTACTAGACAGATAAGCCTTTAGAAAAGCCCACTTCCCAGGAAGAGACACCAAGATAAAGCTAAATTCTCAGCAGAGTGAAGGAAGCTTCAGGAATCATTTGCTCTGTGGTCAATGGAGCTCCCTCAGAGCTCAAAACCTATCTGTCAGGAGCACAGCCCATGCTTTCATTGGGCTGAAACATATATGGTGTTGTGCAGTCTGATCTCTGGTCTTCAAGCCCTGCAAAATCCACCCAGAATCACTGATCAACCTCTCTAATCTTCCCCATCTATGAGGCAAGGAAGCTTACCCAAGTCCATATCAACAGCTCTTGGCCTCTGAGAGTATGGGACATTTTTGTATACTGCATCGAGGATCTTCTCTTTGACTTGAGTGATGGTATCACAGTTTAGCACCTTCACAGGGATCTCTGGACTGTTCTCATTATCTGGGTTCACACAGTTTAGGATCTGGAAGGGAAGGAGAACCGCACCATGGGCTTCAGACAAGCATCCAGGAGAACTGTAACCACATGTGTCAAAACAACCTGTCCTCATAAAAAATCCACTGCATCCATAATTGTATCTAGTATATCTTTGATTACTGAGATAGGAGTCCTGGATGTCCAGTATCTGAAGGGGGCCTATAGGGATGCTGGGGAGGGACTCTTCATTAGGGACTGTAGTGGTAGGACAAGGGGTAATGAGTTAAAACTTAAACATGGGAAGTTTAGATTGGATATAAGGAGGAAATTCTTTCCTGTTAGGGTGGTGAGGCACTGGAATGGGCTGCCCAGGGAGGTTGTGAATGCTCCATCCCTGGCAGTGTTCAAGACCAGGCTGGACGAGGCCTTGGGTGCCATGGTTTAGTGTGAGGTGTCCCTGCCCATGGCAGGGGAGCTGGAACTGGATGATCTTAAGGTCCTTTCCAACCCAAACTATTCTATGATTTGGTGATTCTATGTCCATTTTTACTTGCTAGAGGGAGGTCAGTGTACAGGAAGATAAAATGCTCCACTCAGACCCTACCTTCCAAAACCTTATCTCAGGCTATTTGTACCTGCAAATTAGGCATGCACCTCAGTTGGGTGAGACTTAATAGCACTGATAACATTTAAGCTTCATGGTGGTGTCTTAATGTCCTGGGTTCAGCAGTAGCAGTCATTTTTCTCCTTCTTGGTAGCTGGCGAAGTGCAGTGTTTTGACTTTCGGCTTGGGAACAGAGCTGATAACGATGATGTTTTGGTTTGGCCAAGGACTTTGTGAGCCTCATGCTCTGCCAGGGAGGAGGGGAAGCCGGGAGGAAGCAGAGACAGGACACCTGACCCAAACTAGCCAAAGAGGTATTCCATACCACAGCACGTCATGCCCAGGATGGAACTGGGAGTTAGCCGGAAGGGCTAAGACTGCAGGGCTGGGGGAGGTATGGGTCAGAGCTTGGTCGGGCTTGGGGGGCGAGTTATCAGTCGGCTGGTGGTGAGGTGTTATATTCTCTTCCCTTGTTATTTCCTTTATCATTATTATTATTGGTGGTAGCAGTAGTGATTTGTGTTATACCTTAGTTACTAAACTGTTCTTATCTCAACCCGTGGGAGTTGCATTCTTTTTGACTCTCCTCTCCGTCCCTCTGGGAGTAGGGGGAGGGCAAGAAGGGGGGGGGAAGTGAGTGAACGAGTTACCTGACTGGGTTTAAACCACGACACTTAATTACAGACCTAAAGGTCACAACAGCTCAAGTGCAAGCAGAGAGAAGTAATTCAATAGCAGCTCCTACAGTGATCACTCACCAGAGTCTTGTACTCAATTTGCTGCCGGATCAGCTTGTCCTCACTAAGTGAGTAACGAGCTTCTCCTGTGATGGCATCAATTGGGCCTTTCTCCATCTGCTGCTTGATGGCACAGTAGAGCATGAAGAGCGGTTCCCCAGCACACTCCTACACAATGAGACAGACAGCAAAACTAACACAGAGGTGAAGGTGAATCTCCTTCAGGGCTCCTGGCCTGCACAGCAGGTTTTGCACATGATTCATAGTCTCATTGACTCAACCTTTAGCACATGTGCAATCCAGGCTCAGCCTCCAGCAGCTTTTGGGGAAGACAGCCAAAACCACAAGCTCCATTGCTCGATGGGTATGTTGTCTTTGGCTTGGCAAATCTCTATAGAATCTATATGGCTGTAAAAAACCAGCAATTTGAGATCTTGATCTCATTCACTACTATGAAGCACATTCTTTGGGGCTTCCAAACCATAAATAAAGTTAAGAAATATGGAAGCCCAGGCATGGAGGTGGGAGTGAGAATTTCTCCCAAGTACTAAAGAGGCACAACAGAAACTCCACTACATGGGAATGACACCACATTGAAGAATGCTGAGCACAGAGGCTGTGGCAGCTTGACTCAGCCCATGTAACAGCATCCCTGGGTGTAGGTGTCCCCGGAGCAAATTTCCATCTCCCGTCTCCCCTCATTTGACTTGGAGCCTGACTGAAGAGTTTCAAGCCCAGATTCACCCTGGGGGAGACAGCAAAGCAGCAGCAGCAGGGTCTCAGCTCCATCCCTCCTTACCTTGAGAAACTTGTGGAGGAGGAAGGCAAACCAGTTAGTCAGCATCTTCTCAGCCACCGACTCAGTCCTAGGGAAGCCAGGAGGACACACACATTACATACTAAACCACCCCATGCATCAGAGGCCCCAGATCTCCCTGGCTGCACCCTGGCACCGCTCCTGTGATGCTCTGGACCAGGGCAGGATGTGGCAAGAGCTGTCCCCACTCCCCATACTAAGCTGACAGCAGCTTGCCCAGCTGACAGCCCATCAGAGCCCTGATGGGGCTGGTGACAGGGAGCCTGGTGACACTCTGCTCCTTGCACGTGGTGCAAATTACAGCCTAGCTCAGGAAATCACTGGGATTTGCAGCAGTTCCTGGCAATCAGGGAGAGCTGAGTGACAATGGCAGGGAAATTGCAGCTTTCTCCCCAGTTCCACCCAGTGTCCTCTCCCCACATTATACCCAAGATTATCTTTAATTTAAATACAATGGCTCCTAATGACAGTTTTTAATTCTGGCTCTGCAGGACCTGGAGACTCTGGTTAAAGCACTTCAATCCACTTTTCCCTGGGACAGGATGGATGAGCTGGTGGCAGTGCCCCACAGTCTGCATCTGAGCCCCATCCAGGCATCTCATGCCTGTTGTGGCAGGCAGGAAGGCAGGCAAGCAGGAAAGCAAGCAGACAGGAAAGCAGGCAGGCAGGCAGGCAAGGCTCCCAGCCTGCATGTGAGGCCATGCATAGGGGAGCTGCTCTGCTGCATCAGAGTCAAATGGGAACACGACCCTGGGCACCTTGGCCTTCACACCACATTTGGTATCAGGATGTGGTCCAAATTTCAGCCAGGGAAAAGGGATGCATCCAACCCCTTGCCCTCTGCAGCACCCTTTCCTCTAGTGACCCAGCTGGTTCTGGGCTCCACCTTTGTCCTCTTGGCTGACAACACTGCCTTTCTGACCATGTGCCACCAACCCTGCTCAGGAGATGTCCCATGGGTGTGGCAATGCCCCAAGCCTCTGCTTTTGCCCATACCTTCACCTGGAGCAAGTCATATCCTGCTCCAGACCTGTCTTCAACATTCGCTCTGCTGCCTTGAGTTAGGGACTGCCTCTTGGTATGTATTTATACAGCATCCCACATGCTTGAAAACTGACATTTAATGAAAATGGGTTAGTGGCGGCCTTGGCTATGCTGGGGAATGCTTGGACTTGATCACCTTAAAGGTCTTTTCCAACCCGGTTGACTCTCTGAGTGCCCGCAGCAGCCCTGGGGCGCCCAGTGGCCACGGGCACAAGGCCGCCGCCATCACAAAGCCTCGGTGGTCGCTGTGGAGACGCTGTGGGACTGCCTGGCACCAGGCATGGGTGCAGGCATCGCCATCGTGACCTCAGAGGCTTTGTGATGTAGGGGGAGTCCTTGTGCCCGGAGGCCATTGTGACGGAGGCACCCCCGTGCTGACCGTGGGGTATATAAGGAGCGAGAGCCCTGGAGCACCCCAGGCCAGAGGAGCAGCCTCCCTCAGGAGGCAGCAGTTTCCCTGGAAGCCTACGGCACTTCAGCGTCCCAGGACGTGGGAGATGCCCGTCGGTAAAGAGGCGAACGCCCGTTCCCGGCCCGCTGAGGGCAGGCCGAGCGCACAGAGGATGCGCCAGGTGAGGGCCGGGGCAGGAGGGAGGCGGCCGGCGGTGGGACAGGGCCGTACGGAGCCGCCTGGGTGCAGGGCCGGGCCTGCGGGCACCGCGGGGGCAGCTGTGCAAATGCAGCCGCATTCATCACACACCTCTTCCTCCTCCTTCTGCCCGCAGGTGGCCCGCAGGCAGCCCGAGGAAGGGCCGCAGGGCAGCCCGAGCCAGGCCTCGTCCCGCCAAAGAATCACCATGCCACGGGTGCCCTACCAGCAGAGGTTTCGCCCTGATACCAACCAGCAGGTACTAGTTGGGAGAGCGAGGGAGACGGGGCTGAATGTCCTCCCGACCACGGGAGCTGCGGGCGGGAGGAGCAGGAGGGAGCAAGCTGAGCCCCCCGTGCCGTGCCCGTCAGGCTGCCCGGGCACGCCGGGGGTGCTCTGGGCAGTGGCCGTGGGCTGCGGGTGGCCAGCCCTCTCCCCTGCCGGACTGGGGGGCAGGCGGCAGCCCCCTGCGGGGCTGAGCCCTGCCCTGGGGCTGGCAGGGGAGCACAACTGCATAAGCTGTGACACAGACACAAGGGACACCATCACACAGCCTCTCCTCGGCTTCTCTTGCAGACGGGCAGCCTGGGGCACCGAGCGGTGCTGCCCCGCAGCAGCGGCGCAACGCAGCAGCAGACGCTTCGTCCGCCACCAGTGGTGGCAATGACACCCACGCCACCGCCTCGCTCACAGACACCCATGAGCAGCTCCTGCAGGCTGCCAACTGTGGCAAGGAGGCAGGAACCCCGCCAGCAGCCAGCGGCACAGCAGGAGCCACCACGCAGCAGGGCTGCCGGGACAAGCACAAGAACAGCCACTGTCCAGGCAGCCAAGAGCAGCAAGGCCCCTGCCACTCAGCCCACACTGAGAAACGCTGGGAGAGTGGCCGAGCACCTGCCAGCCATGCTGACGACGGGCAGCAAGGGCAGCCTCAACACCAGGTCGCTGGGGCTACACCACAAGGTGCTTCCACAGGGCCTGCGCCCGCTGCCCAACAAGATCAACCCTAGGGAGCAGCCAAAGGGGAGCTGCCTGCCCAGAGCTACTAGGCAGGAGAAACTGGCACCTCTCCCTCCAGGAGAAACTGGCACCTCTCCCTCCAGTGGCACCAGCACGAGCTTCCCATGGCTCCGGCAAGCAGGAGGCCACAGCACAGAGACAGGCACCTGCCCCGCAGAGCAGCAGAGGATTCAAGGCAGCTCTGCAGGTCACAGCCACAGGCAAAGAGAGGAAGCCTCTGCTCCCACCTGTGGCCGTGCCCCAGAAAACCAAGAAGAGGCAGGTGGAACAGAAGACTACAATCAAAAGCCTGCCCGGGGCCAAGGTGGCAATGCCACCTGCAACACTCAAGTCGCCTGGGGCAGCAAAGCCTCAGGGGGAGCACAGCAGAACCCTTGCCTGCCTGGCAGCGGACGAGGGGCACCCCTCCCAGGCACCCCGCGCGGGACCCCAGGAGGGATCCAGCATCCCCAGCAGCATGGGCACAGCCGCAGCACGAGAGGCAGCAGAAGAGGCAGCGGAAGAGACAGCTGGAGACCTGCAGAGCCTGTCTCCTGCCCTGGCCAGACCCACAGACACCGAGCCAGCAGCTCCCACCCTGCCCGCAGCTGCTGAGCAAGAGCAGCACCGCACACCTCTCGCTGCCCTGGCACAAGAGGACGAGGAGGCACCGGCACCAGCTTCCCCTGGCTTTGACGAGCCGCAGGCAGCAGCACAGGCACCGAGACAGGCACGTGTCCCGCAGAGCCTCGCAGTACGTGACACAGCTCTGCAGGTGATATCCACACCCACAGAGTGGGAGCCTATGGTCCACTCTGCGGCTGTGGTCCAGGGAACTGAACAGCAGCCTTTGGAACACCGGGACACGACACAGTGTTTGTATGTGGTGGTGCCCACAAGCAGTCCTGCAGCACTTGAGGACTCTGGGTCTCATGTGGCCACAGCCCCTCCCGCTACTGCAGCAGCAGGAGGTGTAGAAGACGTGGTGTCACCCATGTTGGGAGAACAGCAAGAAGAGGCCACCAATGCTGTTGTCTCCCCAGCACCAGACAAGGGTGAAGCGACATTTTCATCGACAGAGGTCCCCGGGGCAGAGGCTGCGACACCCCACCTTGCCCCAGGAGCAGACGTAGAAGGACATGCAGCTGCTTCTCCCTCAGATCAGGAATCTCAGCCCCCAGTGACCGAGGCGCATGTGCCCAGCACCACAGGTCTCGAGGTGCAGGAGGCAGGTGCCTCCCCCAGGCTGCGTGTGGCAGAGACATTCCTGGTGATCCCCTGGACAGAGGTCCGGGAGGGGCAGAAGAGGAGCTGCACTGCCAGCAGCAGGCACAGTCTGGACAGGCAGAGGACAGCCAGCCTGCCTGGGCAGCTGGGAGGCCCTGAGGAGAGGGAGCTCCAGCTGCAAGACAGCCAGAGGCAATATTGCTGCCCGAGACACAGAGCGTTGCTCCAGTACATACAGGTGAGCGCCAATGATGGATGGGACAGCACAGGGGGATGAGCCTGCCCCTGCCTGGGGCCAGGCACTGCGCTGCCCAGCTGCAGCACGCTCATCCCCTGCATCCCGGTTGTGTGATTACAGGAGGAACTGCCCACTGAGAAGGAGCAGGAAGAGGAGAACGACCACAAAAGGGAAGAGGACAGCGACCAACTGCTGTCCCATTTGCAGGACGTCACCAAGGGCAACATATGGATCAGAGCCTTGGTCAAGGAGGTGAAGGAGTCCTCAGAACGCGACTGGGACAAAGAGCTGTCCCAAGGGGAAGCCATCACCATATGGGACATCTATGTCAACCCCTTGGTGCCTGAGCTCTCCCAGGCACCCCGCGCGGGACCCCAGGAGGGATCCAGCATCCCCAGCAGCGTGGGCACAGCCGCAGCACGAGAGGCAGCAGAAGAGGCAGCGGAAGAGACAGCTGGAGACCTGCAGAGCCTGTCTCCTGCCCTGGCCAGACCCACAGACACCGAGCCAGCAGCTCCCACCCTGCCCGCAGCTGCTGAGCAAGAGCAGCACCGCACACCTCTCGCTGCCCTGGCACAAGAGGACGAGGAGGCACCAGCACCAGCTTCCCCTGGCTCTGCATCCTGTGTCGCAGAGCAGGCAGCATCTCAGGCACCTGCCCCAAGGCGGCGCACACTTAGAGACAGAGCTCTGCAGCTCTCATTCGTGCGCAAAGTACTCAGGAGAGCATCTGAAAACCATCAAGGTGAGGCCAGCAGTGCCCCTGCCTCACGGGCAGCACAAGAGGAGGCACCGCCAGTGTCACCTGCAGCAGTTCAGGACACTGAGGACGAGTCAGGTACGTCCCTGCGTGGAGTGGCAGCCAGGCCAGGCTGGCAGCAGCGTGAACATGACTTCACCTGTGCCCCGGCCTCCACTCCGTGGGCGAGGGCCAAAAAGCCTTCACTGGAAAGCCCCCCGGGAAAGCCCGCGGTGCTGGGTGGCAGCAGGAGCTTGCCCAGCGCCCACCCAGCCCCGTGCCTACAGCTCCCCTTCCCCCGCAGGCACTGCCACCCAGCCGGATGCAGGAGCGCTCCAAAAGCGACGATCGTCCCGCTTCAGGAGAGCAATGAAGTCTCTGCGCAAGACTTTCAGCTTCTCCTGCATGAACCCACGGGTAGAGGAGTAGTGCCCCACTGCCGGCGCCATCCCCGACAGAGCGGCGCTCAGGACACCGTGCTGCAGCCTGCGCTCGCTGCGGACACCTTCTCGGGACAATAAACCATTCCCCTTTCCCCCCACTGCTCGCCTCTGCCGCCTACTGCTTTTCCCTCGTGTCAGCAGTGTAGAAGCCTGGGGAGCGACCTCTTCCCTTGAGGCACTTCCCAGCTGGTGGGCTTGCAGACTTGCTGCCTCTGGGCAGCACGTGCTGCCCATGCAGGAAAAGTGCGTCCCGATGGCATGAAGCAGGGTGTGATGCGGTGGCTCACACGTCAGCTGCCTTTTGAAGCCAGCTGCATGTTGCAGCACTCTAATGGGCATGAGAGATTTGTAGAAGGGATGGGAGGAATAAGAAGAAAGGCTTGGAGCTGCTGCAAGGATAAAGCCCGTAAATATGTGTGAGGTAGCTCAGGTATGTGAAGGTGAAGGTGACAGAACGATGGGCTGCTTATCAGGAGCGGGACCAAGCCTTGCTGGGCAGCCTGCCTTTCCCTGATGGCTCCGGGGGCAATGCATGGCATTGTCCATCCAAAAAGTACTCTTCTTCACTACGTCTGGAATGCTCTACTCACCATCATAATAGGATGGGAGGCAAGGACCCCAAGCACTGTACAGATGACATCAAGTTGGGTGGGAGTGCTGATCTGCTAGAGGGCAGAAACCTCTGCAGAGGGATCTGGACCAGCTGGATCTATGAGCTGTGGCCAATGGTATGAGGCAAAGGGCAGGGGCTTGAACCTGCAAACATCCTGGCCTGTATCAGCATTAGTGTGGCCAGCAGAACCAGGGCCGTGACAGGGGACACCCCCTCTACTGGGCATTGGTGTGGCCACCCCTCAAATTCTGTGTTCACACCTGGGCTCCCACTACAAGAGAGACACTGAGGTGCTGGAGCGGGGCCGGAGAAGGGCAGCGGAGCTGGTGAAAGGCCTGGAGCACAAGTGTGATGGGGAACGGCTGAGGGACCTTTGGGGGGTTCAGTCTGGGGAAGAGAAGACTCGGGGGAGGTTATTGCTCTCAACAGCTACCTGACAGGAAGACGGAACCAGGAGGTGCCTCTCTCCTCTCACAAAGAACAAGAGATAGGATAAGAGGAAGCAGCCTCAAACTGCACCAGACTGAGTTTAGGAACAATTGCTTTCCCAGAGGGTGAGCTGGTGAAAGGCCTGGAGCACAAGTGTGATGGGGAACGGCTGAGGGACCTTGGGGGGGTTCAGTCTGGAGAAGAGAAGACTCGGGGGAGGTTATTGCTCTCAACAGCTACCTGACAGGAAGACGGAACCGGGAGGTGCCTCTCTCCTCTCACAAAGAACAAGAGATAGGATAAGAGGAAGCAGCCTCAAACTGCACCAGACTGAGTTTAGGAACAATTGCTTTCCCAGCGGGTGCTCAGGCATTGGAGCAGGCTGCCCAGGGCAGCGGTGGCGTCACATTCCCGGGAAGCGTTCATACACCGTGTAGACGAGGCCCTCAGTGCCATGGGTTAGTGGCGGCCTTGGCTATGCTGGGGAATGCTTGGACTTGATCACCTTAAAGGTCTTTTCCAACCCGGTTGACTCTCTGAGTGCCCGCAGCAGCCCTGGGGCGCCCAGTGGCCACGGGCACAAGGCCGCCGCCATCACAAAGCCTCGGTGGTCGCTGTGGAGACGCTGTGGGACTGCCTGGCACCAGGCATGGGTGCAGGCATCGCCATCGTGACCTCAGAGGCTTTGTGATGTAGGGGGAGTCCTTGTGCCCGGAGGCCATTGTGACGGAGGCACCCCCGTGCTGACCGTGGGGTATATAAGGAGCGAGAGCCCTGGAGCACCCCAGGCCAGAGGAGCAGCCTCCCTCAGGAGGCAGCAGTTTCCCTGGAAGCCTACGGCACTTCAGCGTCCCAGGACGTGGGAGATGCCCGTCGGTAAAGAGGCGAACGCCCGTTCCCGGCCCGCTGAGGGCAGGCCGAGCGCACAGAGGATGCGCCAGGTGAGGGCCGGGGCAGGAGGGAGGCGGCCGGCGGTGGGACAGGGCCCTACGGAGCCGCCTGGGTGCAGGGCCGGGCCTGCGGGCACCGCGGGGGCAGCTGTGCAAATGCAGCCGCATTCATCACACACCTCTTCCTCCTCCTTCTGCCCGCAGGTGGCCCGCAGGCAGCCCGAGGAAGAGCCGCAGGGCAGCCCGAGCCAGGCCTCGTCCCGCCAAAGAATCACCATGCCACGGGTGCCCTACCAGCAGAGGTTTCGCCCTGATACCAACCAGCAGGTACTAGTTGGGAGAGCGAGGGAGACGGGGCTGAATGTCCTCCCGACCACGGGAGCTGCGGGCGGGAGGAGCAGGAGGGAGCAAGCTGAGCCCCCCGTGCCGTGCCCGTCAGGCTGCCCGGGCACGCCGGGGGTGCTCTGGGCAGTGGCCGTGGGCTGCGGGTGGCCAGCCCTCTCCCCTGCCGGACTGGGGGGCAGGCGGCAGCCCCCTGCGGGGCTGAGCCCTGCCCTGGGGCTGGCAGGGGAGCACAACTGCATAAGCTGTGACACAGACACAAGGGACACCATCACACAGCCTCTCCTCGGCTTCTCTTGCAGACGGGCAGCCTGGGGCACCGAGCGGTGCTGCCCCGCAGCAGCGGCGCAACGCAGCAGCAGACGCTTCGTCCGCCACCAGTGGTGGCAATGACACCCCCGCCACCGCCTCGCTCACAGACACCCATGAGCAGCTCCTGCAGGCTGCCAACTGTGGCAAGGAGGCAGGAACCCCGCCAGCAGCCAGCGGCACAGCAGGAGCCACCACGCAGCAGGGCTGCCGGGACAAGCACAAGAACAGCCACTGTCCAGGCAGCCAAGAGCAGCAAGGCCCCTGCCACTCAGCCCACACTGAGAAACGCTGGGAGAGTGGCCGAGCACCTGCCAGCCATGCTGACGACGGGCAGCAAGGGCAGCCTCAACACCAGGTCGCTGGGGCTACACCACAAGGTGCTTCCACAGGGCCTGCGCCCGCTGCCCAACAAGATCAACCCTAGGGAGCAGCCAAAGGGGAGCTGCCTGCCCAGAGCTACTAAGGAGAAACTGGCACCTCTCCCTCCAGTGGCACCAGCACGAGCTTCCCATGGCTCCGGCAAGCAGGAGGCCACAGCACAGAGACAGGCACCTGCCCCGCAGAGCAGCAGAGGATTCAAGGCAGCTCTGCAGGTCACAGCCACAGGCAAAGAGAGGAAGCCTCTGCTCCCACCTGTGGCCGTGCCCCAGAAAACCAAGAAGAGGCAGGTGGAACAGAAGGACATGACCAAAAGCCTGCCCGGGGCCAAGGTGGCAATGCCACCTGCAACACTCAAGTCGCCTGGGGCAGCAAAGCCTCAGGGGGAGCACAGCAGAACCCTTGCCTGCCTGGCAGCGGACGAGGGGAAAGCTGCAGCTGCCCTGGCAGAGATCCCTGGGGCAGAGGCTGTCACACCCCACCTTGCCGCCGCAGCACATAAAGAAGGGAATACCCATCAGCCAAGGCTTGGGAGGACAGGGGAGCATCACTAGGGGTGGGGTGAATGGTTTAACCCTGAGTGCACAAGCTAGCACCCTATCTCTCAAAGTCTTGGCATCCCTGGACATGGTCTCTGGCGAGTCCTGGTCACCTTTTCTGTCCCCTCCCAGCACTTCTGCACAGCTCACCATCATGTTGTGAACGCTCCATCCCTGGCAGTGTTCAAGTCTAGGTTGGATGGAGTCTTGGGTGACAGTGTGTGGTGTCCCTGCCCATAGCAGAAGGGTTGGAACTAGATGATATTAAGGTCTTTTCCAACCCTAACCATTCTATGATCATTGTTCAGAACTGCACTCGGAGTCATAAAGCTGCTACTGTGAGGCTAACAGCCCTATAAACAACATATAATTCTGCTTGTTCTGCACAAAAAGTGACACTCTTGTAAGTAAATTAAATACTAATTCAGGCTATTGCTTTATTATGGGACAAGTGTAAAAAATTGAGGCTTTCAGCCAGTTGCAGATTGAAATAATTCATTACAAGTGAAAATGATGGAACTGCATCAGGCAACTCCTTACCAAACATCTTGGAGACTTATGTATTGGTTTTACTAACACTACGTAATTAAGCAACTGTGTAATTGGCAGCACATCACTTCTGCAATTCTGTTTTTCATGAGTAAAACAAAAAACTTTCATATTTGTTTGGCTTATTTGGCAATTTAAACAGTGAACATAGTGCATGGGACTGGAAATAGCAGGGAATGGGCTGTGAGAGGTTGGTTCAAAGCCCAGATGAGTTTTACCAACACCAGGGCAACTGCTGGTGCCCATTGGAGATGAATCAGATTTGATGCATTAATGCTAAGTAGTGCTTGCCTGGTAAAGCAGCGCAGCCGTACGGAGCACAAGCAAGCATTGCTTCTTCCTCTTACAGTTCTGGCTGAAGATTTGAGCCATCCCCTGGGCTGTGTGAAGGCAAGAGGACTTACGACTTTCAGGATACTGGAGTAATACTCCAAGAGGGAGTGCAGAGCTTGTACTTCTGTGCATCCTGGATGGAGGATGGAAGCCCCACGTTCTCTCAGTGGCAGAGAATGTTTCTTGAAGCACCATCATTTATTTGGGTGCTCTCACAGGTGAGCAGGGCTCATCTGCAAGGGGATCCGATGGACCCTTGCACATCACCCATTTTGCTGTATCCCCAGTGAAAATTTTCCATATGTATTTAGACACAGTGGTGGATAAAACATTGAGAGCTCACAGGCAGGCTAGCCATACCGAGCCACGGCATTTGCCCTCCGGTGGACACGCCATGGAAAGCAGAATGCTCTAAGCAGGATGCTCCCAGGCTCAGAGCCTTCCCTGTACAGTACAGTGAATAGGGAGGAGATTAAAAGGACACCAGTAACTTACGTGGTATGCTTTGCTGCTGGCCTATAGCAATATAAAACCCCATAAAGCAACACCAGAGGGAAGAAAGCAAAAGGAATCAAGCAATGAGAGATGGAGATGAACCACCAGCTTCATAGCTAAAATGAACTGGCAGCTCATCCTGCTGATCCCAGTGCCTCTCATTAAGATTTGTGTGGAAGGCATAAAGGCCTCTGGGTTTCACACCAGCTCAGGGAAACTTTGAAGGGCCTGAGCACAGGCTGTACGTTACCTCCAGCTCCCGCAGGACAGGATGGTCCTCAATGCCAGGGAAAAGGACCCTCATGGCATAGGTCCGGTAGTCAAGGTATGGGATCCCAGAGCGATCCAGGTCACTGGTCAATTCATTGATATCCGTCTGCAGCTCTGCAAAAGCTGTTGAGGGAGAATGGAACAAGAGAGAAGCACATGTGAGCTCAGGGAGGCCAGGCTTTGGGGGAGGGTGGGCTGCCCGTCCGCTCGCCTCGAGTAGGACCCACAAATAGGCCAGCTCAGAAAAGCGATGTGGAGGAGACCCTGCTATGTAGCTCAGAGAAAGCCTCTCCCTCAGAGGTTCTGCTGAAAGCAAGAGAGCACACACTGCACAGAGCAGATGCTGAGAACAAAAGATGCCTATTAATTTGTATGCAGTTCACACTTGTGTACACACACCTACAGCAGCTTTAAAGGCTGCAGATAGAAGTGAGGATCTATTTTCCTAACTTGGTGCCTCCTGTATTTTCCTTTCTTCTTCCTTTCCTCCTCTGTCAACAGTTGCCAAAATAATCAAAGCTGATGCAGATCAAATCCAAGCAGAAACTGCTTACTGTAGGGGTCAGGAAGGGATTTATTCTTCCACTTGCTACATAACATCACCGTGTTATACAGCTCTATGTGTGGCCTTGTGTTCATCCTCCAAAGTATGAAATGCTGGCTCAGTGAGATCTCTGTACCCCAGCAAGGCTGTGCCCATGCCCAGGTGGTGTTCTCTCCTGAATACATCTCATTTTTTGTCCTGTGCTTCTAAGGCTATCCTTTTAAAACTAGCTGAACAAATCCAGTGTGATGCTCTCTAGAAACAGGCCACACTATGGAATTTGCAGCTTTTGATTTATTTTTCTTTAATTCACTAAGCTCCCTTCCAGCTGGAAGGACACAGAGAACTACAGCAGAATGCTTCTCCTCTCACCCACCAGCTACAGAGGTGTCTGCACACCTCTACCTTCACTCTCATGCAGAGCAGCCAGGTGCAGCTGCCTTGCTGAAGGGGCAAGACTTGTCTGTGTTGAAATCCAGTCCAAATAACACACAAGATTCCCCAGAAATAAATGCTGAGGAGCTTCTTCCTATCTCTTAGACCTACTCACACTGCTCTGGGCTCACATCTTAGAGACTGGAGGAGGGACTGAAGCAGCTTTCCCATCCTCTGCCTTCCATTTGGGATGCACACTGTTTCTTGGGGGTCCAAACCTCTTCTCCCCCATATCTCTGTGCCTTTTTAAAAGCTCTGTACTAAAAGGCCATTAGACAAGGGGTCATACTGTGTTGGACACCCTGGGGCTCGCACCATCCCTCCAGCACCATCCAGGCATGTCGCTTAAGCAGGATCAAGCTCTAACCCTATTCTCTGCACATGACGCAGCAAAGCTGTGTCTGCTGCTGACACACCTGTGGCTGCCCACCCTGCTGCAGCTTGTCTGGGGGGCAAACGTGGCGGGGCATGAACTCCATTCCTCACCACAAACATCAGGTAATGGGGGGGGGCTCTCCTGGGGCGAGCTGGGGAGCACAGCATGGAGCTGTAGCACACAGAGTGTGCCTGGTCTGTACTGACCTTCCTTGCACTCCAGGGCCACTCGGGACTCCAGGTTGTCCATCTGCATCTGCAGCCTCTTCAGTGTCAGGTCGTTCTCTCGGGACTTGCGCTTGTAGGCAATGAGGACGATGATGACGATGATGAGGAGCAGGCTGCCTCCAGCCGCGATGCTGATGATGGCTGGCAGGGTCAGGAGGCTGTCTGAGATGATGCTCACCGAGCCAGGGGAGAAGATGATACCACCAACACGCACCTACAAAGCACAGTGGAGGTAACCAGCAGCTTTAGCTAAGGCTGTCAGCCAGTCCCAAAGCCTGAGTACATACCACATGGCCTGTGCAGATCCCTACAGAAGCACTGAACAGAGTCATGTTTCAGCCAAGAATATAGCAACTCCAGTTGCCTTCAAACAGAGGGTGTAGCTTATGCGAACACAGGGAGGCTTCAAGTCATGATAAATGTGCCAGCCCTTCACTATCTGGGCTTTGCTCTTACTATCTGATGGCTCCATTTGACTTTCATTTTATAAGCTTTCAACTCCCTTTTGTAAAGTGTGGACATACGCAACCTAGTGATAATTTCACTGACAAGAAACCAGAGTGACTGGAAAGAGAGAACAGAGAAGGGGAGAGATGTGAAAGCTAAAGAGCAAACACGCTGGAGGTTAATGCCAGGACAGACTTTTCTTGGATGTGCCCCGGCCACAGATGTAAGCAGCTCTCAGCCAGGTTGTGCTTCTCTGCATCACACTGTGATAATGTGAATATGTTTTGGATGCTGAACTTAAAGGGAAATAAATCACAATTACAATCTCGTTTGGGCTCCACTCAAGCACTTCGGCAGCTGCAAGATGATCAGAGGAAGCAGCAATGCCCAAAACCAAAGCAGAGGAGGACACCGACTGTTATTCTGCATGAGGCCACTGATTCAACCACTCCAGCGTTCAGATATTCCTAGCTGCTTCTGCTTTAGGAAAAGGAAAACCTTCCCATCCACTTTGCAGACCAGGTCTGGCTAGAAGGACTGTCAAAATCCCAACAGGAGGGAGAACACAACCCACTGAAAATCACAGAATCATGAATGGTTTGTGTTGGAAGGGACCTTAAAGCTCATCCACTTCCAACCCCCTGCCATGGGCAGGAACCCTTTCCACTAGAGCAGGTTGCTCCAAACCCCATCCACCTTGGCCTTGAACACTGTCAGGGATGGGGCAATTTGTGCCAGTGCTCACCACCTCATAGTTAAGAATATACTCCTAATCTAATCTAAATCTGCCCTCTTTCAGTTTAATGCCAGTGATCTCACTTACTGAAGGAACGCTATGCAGCACCACAGAAAGGATGATAACTAGTGCTGAAGGCATTTCCAGAAAGATTTGTTCCTTCTAGAAGGCTTTGATAGTAGGTTCCCTCAGGGAGAGAAGTTTGTCCATGCTAATCCACATCAGTATTTTATATTTCCAATTAGACAGCAATAAAGATCCTACCAAACCTTGGACAAGAAACTGCACTCAATATCCAAGTGCATCAGGGAGCTAGAGAAGGGGGCAAAAGGATGGGAAAGAGGGAGGGAAAGGATGCTGAAAGGAGTGTTTGGTCCCTCACCATCACTTTGTGCTGTCCGGTGAGATTGGGTGGCTCACACAGCAGCTGGGTCTCAGAGACAGTGACAGCACAGGGTGTCTCTCCGATGAGCACGGTGTAGTTGAGCTTTGCTCCTCCAGGAGCGGGTGGGCACAGGTTTCTGCCCTAGGGACAAGGGGAGAGAAGACTGTACAAAGATACATTTCTCTCATTTCTGCCTCATTCCCATTCCTTGTACAAATGATGGGACTCCATCCAGGGTATCCCATTCTCCAAGGAGGGAATAAAAATCTGGGATTGTTTTTTTTGTTTCTTCCCATGGGTTGAGTAAAGGTCTCCTTACCTTCATGATGATGGGTGACCCTGGCTTCTGCTCCAGCACCCCGGTTGGGCTCAGCAGTTCAAACGTTGGGTTGGGGTAGTAGATGAACTTGGTGTCGTTGTAGACCAGGAGGGACTGCACATTGTTAAAGATAAACCCAAACTCATCTGGCCGCTCCACAGCATCCAGGCCGGGCCGATACTCGGAGGTGAGGGGGGGAGCCAGGCAGGACAGCGCTGTAGCGTTCACCACCTTGCAGACCTGGGAGGAAGGTGATGCTTTGAAAGATGTCAGGGAAAACTTTACCTTGACCTGCACAACCATGTTCTGATTCCTTAAATACGCCCTGGAAAGCCCAGAGAAACAGACCCACAGCAAATACCTGCTTCCGGCTACAAACTGGTGATTAGAGGCAATTCCCAGCAAGGGAGAGGAATGACTGTCTGGCACTTCAGGGCTGGAGGTAACACGAAGGTCATCTCCTGCCAGGCTGAGGACACCCACAGCTTCTCTAGGCCTGGAAGCAGGGAACTGGCTGATTTATGAGGCTCTTGCCTTATAAAGCAGCAAGAGCCCAACCGTTTGGCCTCCCTCCATAAGTGGAAAATTTAATTTCACTCTATTTTGTGTCTTCAGGATTATTTTTGCAGCACTGTAACTGCAAGTGCTAGCAACAAAATTAGATGTCTCTTTAAAAAGAGCTCCAATGAAAAAGGTCTTCAGAGGGGAAGGGAGAAAGGGAATAGGAAAGACTGCTAAGTGATTTGCCCTTTCCAAGATAATACAGGTTCAGTGAGAAAGATCACTGCATAGGAACAGCGTATTGCAATTTTACTTGGTCAGAATAATTTCTGCAGGTTCTGGAGGTACAATCTGTATTTGTAGCATAAAAGGACGTTGCTTAGTTCCCACTTACCTAGGGATTCATTTCAGTTTCTTACCCTTGGACTGAAACAAAACAGACTGGGGAAGGAGGTGGCATTACAGATCAAGCCCAAATTCTGCTATACCGACTCCTTGCTTTGGGAATATTAGAGTGATAAAAGGGAGGAAGGAAAAGAGCCTTAAAAATAACACCCAGCTTCACCAGAATACCCAGAGCCCCATGTCCAGCATCCTTCACATGGTGAGGTGGATACAGGGAAGCAGCATCTGGCCTTACTGCAGTGACTGAGCTGCAAAAGCAGCCTGAAAGCTTCTTGTTCAGAAGTGGTTCCCTCTCTCCTCCCCTCCCTGGGCTGGTACAGGTTTGCTGGGCCCAGAGCTGTGGCAGTAGGGGGTTTATTTATAGAGAGGCAGCTAGGGAGAGACTAGTTAAACATAGCAGCCTCAGAGCTGGCAGGTCTCAGCGCCTACTCTGGGCTTTTACAGAAAGAGCAGGACTAAAATGGGAAGTGTGGAGCAGCTGGGAATGATGGAGGCAGCTACACGGGCTTCCCATCATAATGTGCCTGTAGACCTGAGCTAGGGACTGGAAATCAAAGGTGCTGGGGAGAGGAAAGGTTTCAGGGCCTCGGACAAAATGGGGAATTTCAGAGTGAAACTTTATCTGACCCAAGACAGAATTTGATGTGATTGAGATGATCCAGACTGAAGGCTTCCATTTCTAGCTTTGAAAACCGCTTGGCAGTTACTGTGCTGCTGAAGAAGTAATTTGTGTGTGGAAGAATCCCTCTTTCCAGCGTTCCCAGTTTCAGTAAATCTAGGGAAACAACCCCAAAGCAGCTTTGCCATGGCAAGCCTCACCAGTAACCAGTGCATGTGTGCACCCAGGTGGGGAGAACCCATGCAAGGGATGCTCCCAGGCACCGTGCTGACAGCAGCTACTTACGTTGACAAACTCCTTCCCATTGTACTTGACGCGGATCCTTGGCTCCTGGATCACATCCAGGTTGGAGCCGGTAACAGTCAGAGGTGTGTGTCCGCTGTGGAGAACCAGGAGACACCTGATTAATGCTGTGGAGAGAGGCTCTGCTTGACAAGAAGGATGCTTGTTGATCTCAGAAAGATGTTTTCTGCAGACACTTCAGGCACCAGGAGACAGCATGGATTAATTCCCACTCCCTGAGTCACTGGGGAGGGGGGTCCAAAGTCAGCAAGATTTTATACTCGCAGCTTTCTCCCACCTAACAGCACTGCAAGGCAGCAGGATGAGAAATGGGACCAAAGAAATCAACTGAGCTGAGACTAAATATGTAAGACAATACATTAATCACAGTGGTTAATGATTTACATCGTGATGTTTTTAAGGAACACAATGAACGGTATGTGCAGTGAAGGAGCTGACATGCACTTGCATCTGGATTGCAGATGCAGCAAGTTGTCACACTTGGGAGGGGAGGGATGAAGAGCACCCAATGCCATGTGGGCCAGGTAGGACACAACCCCAGTTCTCCTACAGCCAATGCCTCTGTGTAAAGTGTTTCACTTCTGGCTTCCTGAACCAGCCCACGAAACCCATCTCACCCCAGACAGACGTTATCTTGAACTGGGGCTCAAAGCAAACACCTCAGAGCCTGCTGTGCCCTTCATTCAGGGGCAATTTTAAAAAACAGTTGGAATTTGAAATGAATTGCTATGTTTCAGCCTGTGTGAGCACAACCATTAAAGTAACCCCAGGGGATGAGGCTGGCATAGGGTTTTTAGCAGTGATGATGCCACAGTGAAGTGACAGCACCGGTCACTCTGTACCAAGCAGTGAATCTGGAATAAACACTATGTTTTGATTAGCATCAGCTTTTTCCTTTCTTGGTGCTTGCTGGTTTTGTTTTATTGCAGGACTATGAGAAGGAGCCTTTAATGAGCAATTGTGCACTTCTTCAGCAGATGGAAGTGATCTTGGCTTTATTCGTGCTCCCAGAATGTGTGGGCAGACTGCTGCTGTTGTAATTGCCTTGGTAATCGCAGCTACTTGATAGTAACTCTGGACCTGATTTTTGGTAACTGCAAATGCTGCACACGCACAGCCCTGACAAATCCAGGATGGGATGTGCATTTTCAAATTGACCCTCTTTTGACCTCACAGATCACAGGTTGAGAGAGAAAACCCAGACCAGGCATGCTGGTTTACCCTCCTGCTTGCCAAGGAAATTATGTCAGACGTTTTTGTTACCTGGCAATGCTCCACTCAGGTTCAATATGCTGCACCTTTGGATCGTCAATGTACTCAAACAGCAAAGTCCTCTCCAGCTGAGCCCGGTCCACGCTGACAGAGACATGAACAGCCCCCAGGCCATGGGCTGATGGAGCTGACACGCAGACGATCTCGTTCATGGATCGCCTGTGCAAGAGAGAAGCCAGGGAAGCCTTAATGGGCAGTCACAGCATAAGGGCAGGAACCCCTTGGTCCTAGTGCTGACCTGCAGCTCACTAAAAGGCTGAGCCATCAGCCAGCCCTACACTCTGATACCTGAAAGGGGCTGAGCTCCTGAGATGGGCAGGAGAGGTTCACTGGCATGGAAAGGGACTCTGTCTGCCCACCAAAAGAGAAGCGCAGGCTCCCTGAAATTACTCTTTGTGCCAAACTGCAGCCTCCTGCATCCCTCTGTGAACCCGCTGCCTTCTGCTGGGCATGTGAAAACAGATGGCTGCTTTTGAAATGGGATGCATAAGCTCACTCAAAAGCCAAATTCTTCCCCTCCCACCCCACTGCATACATGGGCTCTTGTGAGCAGCATAATAGAGCACACGAAGCCCCTTGGGAAGGGCGATGCCACCGTCACCACTGCCTTCTGTCTTTGTGTCCCCATCAAAGCAGGGGTGACCTCGGCCTTGGCACTGGCTGGCTGGACACAACAGACCATCTGCTTTCAGTGAAGCCCCAGAGGTCAAGGCAGCAGAGAAGAGAGGGGCTGTCAAAGCACAAAGGCACTGGTGGATGGATGGATGGATGGATTGATGGATGGATGGATGGATGGATGGATGGAGGGATAGATGGATGGAGGGATAGATGGATGGAGGGATAGATGGATGGAGGGATAGATGGAGGGATGGAGGGAGGGAGGGATGGATGGGTGGATGAAGGGGAATGAGATCCAAGCAGCGATGCTCCCGCTGCTGGGACAGAGCTGCAAGGATCTGCACAGCTCTGTGGTGAGCCTGGACACTGCTCATACAAAACTGCTGGAGCAACATCCCTTGAAGGCCAGTGTCCTGTAGGGCCACCTGCGGGTTGTCCTGCCTGCCCAAACCTGCCTCTGGCTTGCCAGAAAGGCCATGCTGCTTCTGTGGCCCATTTAGTTTTTGCTTCTCACAGGGGAGAGGGCAGGCAGCTCTGCAGCACAGCATTCAAATCAAAACCTGGCACTACTTAATGTCCACTCTTCCCCATCCTCACCCTTAGAGGCTGCACAGCTCAAGAAGCATGAATATTGGAGGCCCAAGTGCAGCCGTGCCCCTGCTCTGCTTCCAGCAAGGCTCTGGTGTCTGTACCTGGGTAAGGGGATGCTCTGTGGGCCCCTTCCAAGGTCCCTCAGACACTCCCTAAGGAGTACAGGCACATCACTTGGCACTGGGCATTCCAAGGGGTATCTAACAGCAGGTACCGCAATATTCCCAGTGCACACCTTTGCACGCCCATCCACCATAACCCAGGGAACAGAAACAACTTCCTAAAATATCTCAAATAGATTGGACTGGACTATTTCTGTTGATGCAGTTGTCTACCCCTTCCTGCTCTCCTCCTCCTCCTCCCCTCTGGTCTCATTCTCATTCTCCACCTAGGTTTTATTTAACCACAATGGCCTCCTTGTCTGAGAAGTGCATTTCCCCACCCTCCTTGGTGCTTCTCTATGTGTTTCTGTGGTTGCTGAAGAGCTGCCGGCTCTGCTGCCTGCTTTCTGCCCAGCCCTGCTAGTCTACAGTGCCTGCTTAGCTCTGGCACAAGATCCAGAGCGACACCTCACTGCTGGCAGGGCTGCTCTCAGCTCTCTGTGATCAGTTAATTAGCTTTCCATGCTATTAGCATGTCGTCATGGTGAATCTACCCACTCCTCTGAGCAGAGAGGGGAGAATGGAGGAAGCTGTAATTAGAGTGAATCTCATTAGAAGCTGCTTCATCTAATCAGGCTCCCCCACACCCTCAAGTCCAGTTGAAGTTCATTGCCTCCAAACAGTCCAAGCAAAACAAAGTGCACAGCATGACCCCACATGAAGGATGGTGCCATTCATACACTGCCCTGGCTTTGTTTAAGTTTCTGCTTGCCTGCTGTAATTAGACCATACAGATTATTCACAATTCTTCCAGGTTTTGCAGGTCACTGTCTGCAGGTTGCCTGAATATAATCATATATTTAAGGGATTATATCACAGGGCTGATGCTGCTTGCAGGCCAGCTTCCAAGGCTGCTTCTGTCGGTGGGAACACTGTTACCCGCGCGCATCTGGGGCAGCAATCTGGCACCTTTGCTTTGGATGAGGGAAGAAATGGTGGTGCATTGGTTACAGTGAACTGATCTGCACTTGAAGACCTTGGGACGTCCTGAAGCACCACTCTAGGATGGATGCAGAATAAGCACTAATATCCCAACATGCTCCCACATCCCTGGCAGTGTTCAAGGCTATACTGGATGGGGCCTTGAGCGACCTCATCTAGTGGGAGCATCCCTGCCAGTGGCAGGGGGTTGGAACTGGATGATCTTAATGTCCTTTCCAACCAAAACCATTCTGTGATTGTATGATCTCGACATCCACAGCTCCCATAGTGAACCTCTCAGTCTTCCAGATAAGAAATTCACCTTCAGGGGTCTTTTCTTTCCGAGGAACTTCCATGGTTCCCCCTGGGAAGCCTGGTCGGACAGTCCCTTTGCACATCACACCACTTTGCTTAGGCTCCCCACGCTCTGAAATGCACCCTGTCACCTTTGGGTTGGTACAGGGCATAGATGTGTATGCACACAGATGTACGCTGCACTGATGTGTGATGCACACAGATGTGCACTGCGTGTATCTTTTTTTAACTAAGCCCCAATAAAACCCATTAAACCCTGCAAATGTCAGCTCTCTGTTTACACTGCTGGCTAAAAAGCAAATTTGCCATAGAAATCCCTGAGGAGATGGATGGCTGTGAAAGTTTCTCAGCAAGAAGGTGTGTGCACATCCTCGTTTTGCTCTGCCACACAGAAGCCCACCCCCTGTTCTGACCATTTCTGGGAGGTTGAGGGATGTGCAGCAGCGGCTGCAATAAAAGTAATGCAAGTTGTTGATCTGTGAAAAGAGAAACCAGTTGTTTTTTATAAATGCTGCATGTTCTTCAGATTAACCAGGCTCAGGGCAGGTCCTGATCACCATTATAAACATTCTGAAATCGCAGTGATGTTCACTGAAGACGTTTGGACCAGTTAACATTGTAACAGCAGGAAATGTGAAATAATGGAAGCACTAATACTCATGCAGTCCCTCCCTTGCTAAGCAAGGCTCAGTCACAGTATGGCAGAAGATGGTTTCAGGTAATAGGAAATGGGAGCCTTCAGGGGTTCCCACATGAGTTTTTTTGCCTTGGCTGCATGTTCAGCTACAGGAGATACACTGTGCTGTAGCCCTGATAACCGAGATGCTGTGCCCCATCTCTGGCAGGGTTCAGGGCCAGGTTGGACGGGCCTTGGAGCAAGCTGCTCTAGTGGAAAGTGTCCCTGCCCATGGCAGAGGGTTGGAACTGGATGAGCTTTAAGGTCCCTTCCAACCCAACCCAGTCTGGGGTTCCAGGACACAGAATTCCATGACACGGCTCGATCCCTTACCTGTAGAATTCGCAGGTCTGGTTCCCCAGGAGCACTGACACGCGGCTGCCGGCTCCCAGGTAGTGCCCGGAGATGGTCACCATTGTCCCTCCCGACTCTGGACCACGACTTGGATTCAGGAAACTCACTGCTGGAGTCTGGAGAAACCAAAGGACAAACTCAGTGCTCTGAAGGGAGATGCTGTGAGCCCAGGGACTGCGCCAGACAAAGAAACATCCTCTCCAGAGTATCTTTATGCTCTGGCTGAGTGCAGGTATCATTTTTAGAATGGAAAAGCAAAAGAGAAGATATGTCCTGGATATGTGACAAATCTCCTGCTACATTTTTGAACACAGCTCTGAAAGATAAAATGTGGTTCAACAAACTGAGTGTAAATTTAGCCTTGGCAAAATTAGGTATTTACCTTCAACTCAGTCTTTACACAAAGGTAAGCTGTTTGCACTGCAGTTTCAAAAGCTGTATATATATCCCAAGCCTGGCAAACTGCCATGCTGGAAATCTGAACCTAAATATTTCAAGTTTGCCAATGTGGTAACGCATCAAAAAACCCCCCACCAGGGTCATGGGCAACACTACAGGCCTTTAACAAAAGGCAGCTCCAGCTTAACATGAACCCCCTGTGGTGGTATTGTAGGGGCAGAGCCTGTTTCCCATTGCTGATGGACAGACATCCTTAGCAAACAAATCCCACTCCTCATCTCTCTGGTGATGTTATTGCAGCAATGTCTTCATCCTACCTTGCACCGGGTGAGCTTTTATCCCCCTTCATAGAGTCTGCAGACAGCAGGCACCTTTCTATTTGTTTTCAATCAGTGGATATTACCAAATTGTTTGCCTAATGCTTCCGCATTCCCCTCCTTATGACTCTCATCTGCAAAGCCTGGCAGCCTCCCAGCTCTGCTCCCCTGGCACCACCTGCTTGGCAGCTCCCAGAGTTTGTCCTGTTTTCTTTACTGGTTTCACAATGCAACATGTGTTTTCTGGGTGCCACAGCATTTGCCAAAGCAGCTCAGGCCTGTTTGACCCTGACTCCTCGATAGACCAGAGAATAAAACATACAATTCACCCTGTTGCGGGCTATTATGGGATAATGGTGCAGGAGGGAAAGATTCATCTTTCAGCTGCTCATTGGCAGCTCCCAGTTCTTATTCTAGCTGGGGTCAAAGTGGACTCAATGATCCTTATGGGTCCCCTTCCAGCTGAGGATATTTGATGGTTACCTCGGCTAATGGCAATAGCAGACTATAGAATGGGGATAGCAATGGTTACACTGGGCAGGCTGGGGACCATTTCATACAGCCAAGAGGAACAGTTCCAAAATGCAAACACCACATTCAAAGGATGTTCCATGTACAATTCTGCATCAAAAACCTCCTTCAGCCTCCAGCCCAACGCTGGCAACTGTGCCCTAAAGTGAGTTGGGAGCAAGCTGCAATGCTGTGACACTGCAGACAGAGAGCCCACCACAGCCTCCCTCCTCCTTCAGCCCCATCCTAAGGCTGGGTTGCAGCTGGCATCGGATGAGGGCCTGAGAGCTTAATAAAGATTTTCCATCTTCAGCTCTTGATTTGGTGATAATTATGACAGATTTACAGACCAAGACGGCTCCAAGCTTCCACCTCCCCAGATAAAACGGGTGTAATTCAGGTGACAGCATTGCTCCTGCACCATGTCAGGCTCCAGATGAGCTCATGAAGGTATAAACCCTCACGGGGTCAGAACAGAGCTCTGCTTTAAGGTACCAATCAATTTTACTACTGACTTTAACAGCATAAAGCAGCTGTAATGGAATCTGTGGCAGCACTAAAGAGAAAAATAAAGGCCAACTAACAAAAGGCAGTGATGTGCTGGAAGTTTTAGGTGCCTGAGAAAAAGAAACGATCTAATCAAGTAAGTGCTGGAAATCAGAAGCAATAATGCAAAGGATGATGGTGCTCAGCATATGTTACTGGGTTCCTGCAAGATACTACTCCAAGATTCATCTCCACAATTACCTTCCGCTGGCTCCTGGTTATTATTTAACACAAAGCAAGAGAGATTCCTCCTTGTGTCACATGGGAACCTGCCTTTTGGTAATGGGGGAACTGGGGACTATACTGGCACTGCCCTGTGATGATCAGAGCTTCTGGCATACTCGAGCAAAATGTGGTGGTATTTTGCACCCCTGCTATGTTGTGGAATAACTGAAACCCCAGGGGAGGGTGTGGGATACAACACTAATAGGGGGTGGCAGGGGTTAGCCTGGTTTATCTCTCAATTAGTTTACAAACTGTGGGCAATTGGGAAGTGCTGGCATTTCCCTGCATACAGATTCCACGGAGCACAGAATCAGTGTGGCAGGATGAAGCGCCCTGTTTAGGCAAAACTGGAGGTATGCGAAAGCTCAGCTGTACCTTTGAAGTTTATGAATCAAAAGGCTGCTAATTAAACAAGGGAAATAAATGACCCACTCAACCAATGGAAGCCACCAAGCCAAGAAGCAGGGAGAGAGCTTACACTGAACCAGCATCCTTGGAGGGGGGAAAACCAAAAAGCCCATAATAGTTGGATGCAGAATTACTCTTCCATCCAAAAGGGTAGAATTAAATCTAGAGACACAGAAACTAACTCAGATATAGTTTGTTTTCAGAGTTAAGCCTGTAGCAGTACCCGAGCTGCAGCAGATGGTCTCTGGTGCTTGCTGTCCTGTTTGTTTCTGGGTTCATGCAAAAAGGCATACTGGTGCCTGTATGTACACACAGGTCTGTATAAAATTGTCTTCAAAACCAGCAAGAAGCAGCACCCCGGATTTACTCCCATTAACTACGTACCAAGGTACCAACATCCCTTCATTGCAAACAGGAATATTTCTAGTGCTGACTCCAATTCCTTGACAATTCCTCATGCACAGAAAATCCCCAGGTACAGAGCAAAGTTATGGCTTTAAGCTGAAAAAGGCGAGATTCAGGTTAGATGTAAGGAAGAAATTCTTCCCTGTGAGGGTGCTGAGGCGCTGGCACAGGGTGCCCAGAGAAGCTGTGGCTGCCCCATCCCTGGCAGTGCTCAAGGCCAGGTTGGACACAGGGGCTTGGAGCAAGCTGCTCCAGTGGAAGGGGTCCCTGCCTGTGGCAGGGGTTGGAGCTGGAGGAGCTTTGAGGTCCCTTCAACCCAAACCACTCTGGGATTCTATGATCTGTGTAAGGCTCCTGCTGGGAGTACACCAGTGCACTTGCAAAGAGTGAGCACAGAACTGTAGGGAAGCTTGTCAGTACTTTGGTGGTGCAAAGCTGAGACCAAAGCCAGTGGGAGCCCTGGGTTTAGGTTCCCACCTAAATCCCGTGTATTCTGTAGACATTTACAGGCTGGGCTGCCAAAACTGTGCAGTGCCACAGGGAAGATGGCAATTCTGGGACTGCCTTCTGGTGTTGAACCCTATCCATTTGACCCAGCTGTTCCCATGGGACACACGTGCTGCCCTCACCCCCCCACCCTCATAGGACACTCACCACAAACATGTACTGCTGCGTGGACTTGGCTGTGAACTCCGGTTTGCACTCTCCGATGCACAGGAGCACTGGGCCGGAGCTGATCCCTGGAAGAGCCTGCCCCATTTCACAGACGATCCTGGAAGCAGAAAGGCCACAGGGACTCTTTGGCAGGAGATGGCAACAGTGCCCATGCAGGGCTGGCTTTCTTTTTCCTTCCCTTTCTTCCCCCTCTTCCTTAACTTTGGTATCTGCCTCTTTGGGGGAAGTTAATTACTGAGTCTATTTTTACCCCATGTTATAATTTAAAGGGGGAAAAAAAAATCAAAATTAGACGTAATTATTACAAGCTGTAAACTCCAGAGCAAAGCAGAGCTCTAATGGCAATACATTAGCCAGCAGCAAAGCGAGTGCGAAGTCCTCAGAGTAACAGATGAGTTCATTAAGGGAACAGCTCACGCTGCAGTCTCCCAGTTAATCAAAAAAAGGAGAAACCTGCTTGGGAATGATAGAGACAGCCCTGGAGAGCAGCATTTGCAGGGGAGACACTGATCCGCTCCTCCCGTGGGCCAGCTCAGCCCTGTGGGCACTTAAGGACAGGGCGAGCTGCTGGGTTAACCCCAGCAGGCCAGGCTGGAAGATGAGGAAACAACTCATGGCCCTGTGGGTATGGTACATAACCCAGGGGATGTGTAACATTGACTGGAGACGAGACTGAGCGAATGCCTGTCAGGCTGGCAGGTTTGAGAGGGGCTTGCAAAGGGATGTCAGCTGGTGGGGCTCTCTAGCTGTACCTAAAGGGGATGGATGCTGCTCCTGCAGCAGCAGTGGGAAGACAAATCCAAGAGAATCCCGTTGGGCATTGGAAATCTGAGGACAAGAGCAACCTGCCTTGGGGCAGGGGAACGCAGGGATGAGACACTTGGTGTCTGGCCCTGACAGTGGGGTCAGAGGATGAGCCAGAGCATTGTTTGTCACATGAGGCTAAAGGCACCTCTGCAGAGCACCAGGGAAACTGTTCACTCCTCTGCCAATGATGTGCCAACACATACAAGGCTCCAATTTGTGGAGGCAGCATGTCAGCTGCCGTCAGCAGCACTGAATTAACTACAAATAACATAAAATAGACTAAAGGAAGAAAAATAACCTGCAGATGAGCATGCACAGGTGATGCCAGGAGGCCTAACAAAATACACACATGTAGTCAAGAGCTCTAATGTGAACATCCTTATTGCTGCATATCAAAACGAGTTGCCTAGAGAGATGCTGCCTTTGGAGAACAGGAACTGAAGCGTCTCAGCTGCGTGCCTTCATCTGCCACGTGCTCCTCGCTCTGCCTTTGAGCCAGACATCACCCATGAACCTCTCTGCTATTTCACTGCTTCTCCTGCTGCAGCCTGGCAGGGTTGCTGTGCTGCCAGGCGGTGGGCTAGGATGGAGGGCTGGCATTTGAGAGCAATCATCTCTGCTCCTGCCAGCACATAGGCAAAGGAAGATGAAGTGATTCCTGACACCCCACAGGCAGGAGAGGAGAGTGGGGCTTTTCTCCCACAAGAAGCAAGGATACACCAAGTTCTATATAGGGGGGAGAAACACTGAATATATCTACTGAATATGTAATATTCAACTGAAAGAGAGGAGATTTAGATTAGATCTTAGGAAGTTCTTCACTGAGGGTGCTGAGGCACTGGCACAGGGTGCCCAGAGAAGCTGTGGCTGCCCCATCCCTGGCAGTGCTCAAGGCCAGGTTGGACACAGGGGCTTGGAGCAAGCTGCTCCAGTGGAAGGGGTCCCTGCCCGTGGCAGGGGTCGGAACTGGATGAGCTTTAAGGTCCCTTCCAACCCAAACTACTCTATGATTCTATGATTTGCCAGTAAAGCAGCTGCTGTACAGCACCAGCCATCATAATGGGGCATGGGGTGGGGCATGAGCAACCTGATACACCTGATCCCAATTCCTGATAAAAGCCAAATTCCCAGCAGGTACCTTGTTACAAAATGATGCATTCGGCAGAGCTGTAGGGTGCTGATTGCTGGGCTAAGTGGCCCTTTCACCAACATTAACCTAATTGCTGGCTGATAGATTGCGTGGCTGGAGCATATGGTGCGTCATTACAGTCTTGGAATTCAGTCTGCCCACAGAACCCTTAAGAGGGTCCTATTATCTGTTTTCATCTTTAAAAGACAGCTCTCCTGCTAATGCTTGCTGTTATCTGCCCAGGGTAAATGTTTTAATGATGTTAACAAACTTCGAAAGCTCAAGAGCCATAATTAGAGTCATGATTATAAAATCAGGGTTTCATACCATCAAAGGAGGATAATTTCATAATCTTCCATCCTTTATTTGAAAAATAAAACAAAACACTGCTCAGCAGAACAGCCCAATCCACTAGCAGTGACAGCACTGGTGGTGCAGTGGTTGGAGCTGTTCCTGCAATAACATCAGTGATGCTCTGCATGCCCATAGTGCCCTTCATAGTTGAGCTGCTGGAGCAAGTCCAGAGGAGGCCATGGAGATGTTCAGAGGGCAGGGAGGGACAGGCCAAGGGGAATGGCTTTAACCTGCCCCAGGGGAGGGTGAGATGAGCTCTTAGGCAGAAGCTCTTCCCTGTGAGGGTGCTGAGGCGCTGGCACAGGGTGCCCAGAGAAGCTGTGGCTGCCCCATCCCTGGCAGTGCTCAAGGCCAGGTTGGACACAGGGGCTTGGAGCAAGCTGCTCTAGTGGAAGGTGTCCCTGCCCGTGGCAGGGGTTGGAGCTGGATGAGATTTGAGGTTCCTTCCAACCCAAGCCATTCTATAAGACATCATGTATTGCTCCCCACCTACTCTGCCCAGATCACCCTTAACACACCCCTGAGCACCGCCCTGGCAACAGCCCCAGGAGCACATGTCACTCTGGGAGGTTCGCTCGCCCATCCTCTCTTACAGTGCCTGTTCTCTAATTTTTGGTTGACGTTTTCCTTAGTGAAATAAATGAACTGACTCCAGTGGAGGCCCATTCGGATTAAGCGGCTGTCACCGCCTCGCCCGCCTAACAGATAGCTGTGTGCGGGCAGCAGCATCGCCTGCATTTCAAATACAGTGGGGAGCAGAAGGGGCAGAGCTCAGCATCAGCAGCAAGGTGCTCATCAGAAAAATTGCTTAGCAAAGCAGGAATGCTGGTGTGGAAGGAAAAAAAAACACTTAATGAAAGCTTAAACGTCTGCTGGACACCCCCAGAGAGCATCCAAGCACCTCATCCCCTTCAGGTTGTTCAGCCTGGAGAAGAGAAGCTGAGTGGGTATCTCAGAGCAGCTTCCAGTATCTGAAGGGGGCCTGCAGGGATGCTGGAGATGGACTCTTCAACTCTAGTGATAGGACAAGGGGTGATGGATTCAAACTTAAACAGGGAAGATTGAGGTTAGATGTAAGGAAGAGATTCTTCCCTGTGAGGGTGGGTTTGCTGGGGGTCAGGGAAGAGGCTTTGTGCGGGCTGGCCAGCCCTGGGGACCCACAGGTGAGGTCTATGAAGCCACTCACTGTTCGGCGACGATGTAGTGCTCGGGCAGCGGCGTGCACTGCACCCCGGCCACCTGCACCCCACGGGCGATCTCTGAGAAGTCCAGGCCCAGGTTCACACCACGGATGGTCACCCTCGTCCCTCCTTCTGGGGGGCCCGAGACCGTCAGGATCTAGAGGGAAACAGAACACAGGGATACTGAGCTGATGTCCAGACGTCTGCTCCACGGGCTGCTCAGGGATGCTGAGTGCTGCGACCTCCACCTCCTCCTGCTGCCCAACCCAGGACACTGCCACCTTCTCATGACTTCTCTGGATGTCTTTGAGAAGCCCAATGATGCTGAAATCCACCTGTGCCATGCTCCAAAGGAGGACATCATGGTCCCTGAGCTGGCCGAGAGGCATGGGCAATGCCACCCCCCCCAGAAAGCCTTGCAGAAGGATGAGACTGACTTCTTTTATATACCCAGAATATGGTAAATTACCCTTCAGAAGTAGCCTGCTGCTTTGGAGATCTGTAACTCCTGCCTTGGCTGCTCCCTGAACGTTAATGTCACATTTTATTAGGGGGTTGGCACCTCAAGTGACTTAGAAATGTTAAAGTGTGAGGTGTGTACTTTAAAGCTGCCTGTTTATAGCCTGCCTCAGCCATAATCATCTCTGCTCCCATAGACTTTCATTAAGGACACTATCCTCTTCAATTAGGAGGATAAATTACAATGATGCAATGCCACAAAATCTGGACCCAAGACTGTCAAATAGTCATCCTTAATCTGCCACTGGTCCATCGTTTCTCTTGGGTGAGTTACCAGTATTCCCCGTGCTACAGCTGTTATCCATAAACAAACATAATCCACAGTAATGCAATTCAATTAATTTAATGGAGAAATCTTGTTCAGGCTTGTTTGTTCCGGCCCTGTCTTTGGCAAACGACTTGAGCTCTTCAAAATCTCTTCCTGAATGGGATTTGGCCACACATGCTGGGGTTCAGCCTGCTCCATACACCAAACATCAACCCCCCGCCTCCTTCCTTTGTGTAGACTCCAACTTCTACCTCCCTCTGCCCTCAACCACACGACTGAGGCTGCTGATTTATTCACCATACACTCTCTGTGGTGCTGCTGCTTTCTGTAACTCACACCATGTCACAGGTTTTGTACCATTTAGCTCCGTGAAGCTCTGTGTGCCCTTTAAAGACACTACAAAATCACATCGGATTGCATTACACCAAGTCCTGAAGGCCTGCACTGGTAATGGGAATTACCTGAGCTCGGCACTTCACGTACTTGACAGTTACAACTGTCCCTTGCAGCCCTAGAGTATGTTAAAATGCATTTGCTGGAGCACTTGCACTTGTGGTCTCATCACTGTTCAAAAGAAGTCCCAGTTTACCGTTTCCTGACCTCCCCACAGCCAGTGGAGCCTCCCCACACAAAGCAGAGCTCATGCTGTATTTTCAAGATGTCCTGACCTGGAAAATCCCCAATATGGAGCTCCCTCCACTCGACCTAGATTTTAGTGGCCACTCATTGAACAGTTTTGAAGTAACTGTGCCACAAAGCAGCCCCAGGGTTAGAACAGATGCATTTGATTAATTACAGCTGGAGAGATTCAGTCAAAACCACAGAGAGAAGATAAGTCTTAAAGGTCCCATCACATCAAGCGCTGGTGACCCCTCCAAGCAGCATCCCTGGGTCACCTCCTCCTGTGGTGGCCAAGGCATCTCCAGCAAACCCAGCCCAGGGCTGCCCTAACCCCAGCCTGCCTGTCCTGGGAGCTGCAGGGCTGGCTGTGATCACGTTCCATATTCCTCACCTGAGACAGACAGGATTAGGAAGCAATATTCCCAAGTTTCAAGCACCAGACCTCACAGAGTGGCTTTCGCTCAGAGCTCTGGGGAGGGGCACAAGAAGCTGCAAAGAGCACCTAAGTTAAAGCCAAGGCCATCACCAGGAATTCCACACCTACTGTTCAGGGGTCTGCGCCTCTGCTGGGAGTGGGGTGTGGGAGGCAGGGACACTGCTTCTGCTGATGTCTGAGCAGGTCACCTCTCTCCTGAGCATCAGCCTCGCCTAGCATGAAACAAATCAGCAATCCACCACCCCTAACAAAGCACGGTCCTGCTGCTCAGGACCAGGGTTTCTGCAAGCGTGAAGAACTGGGTTACTCACAGAATGGATCCAAATACAGAGATGAAGTGGCTGGTGGCAGGAGCTTGGTTACCCTCACACTCTGCACACACACCACGTAAGGGATGCAGATGCACCACTGCATTTCTGGTGTTCCTGCTTCTTTCTTGAAACCAAGGTAGGGATCCTGAGGATCCCTGAGGTTGGAATCCAAGCCATCCCAGGGATCCAGGAGCCCCAACACAGTGCTAGCACACTTCCCTCCCCAGCCTGCACAAGACACTGGTATAACAATGCAGGCTAAATGATCTCAGCGTCATGGGTCAGCATTTCTGACATAAAGCAATATTTAGCCTCCAGGAGAAGTCTGTGCACATCACAAGGAGACCTAGGGCTGGCTGTGAATCAGATGGGGTTTTCCTTCCGGAGCTTAAGGCAAGCCACGAGCCTAAGACCATTCTGCACAATAACCCCTTAGCATCTGTTGGGGTGCAAAGCAAGCACATGGCTTGCAGAATAAATGGCATAACCCCTGCCCCCTCCCAAAATGTCATCTACCTTCCTTCTGTCTTTTTTCATCCAGCTCTAAGCTAGCTGGGTCCCAGCTGATGAGCCCAGCAGGGAACCAGCACACAAGCACTGTCATCCCGACATGATCCCTTCTTGTCTCTGCTTTAGCTGATAGCACATTCAGAGCCTAATTGTTATCTCAGCAGAGCAACTCCATTATTCAGCCTGACACTGCCCCCCCTTCAGCTGTTTGTTGCACTGATGTTATATTAATGAGGCCTGCAAATAAATAAGTAGGAGATCAGAGTGCCTCTTGTTTACAAGAAAACGGGGGTTATTTACTTGTTGCTCAGACCACAGACCATGTGGAAGTTTTACACTGTTAGAGGGACACTGTGGGTGATGGCTGGGCCTCTCACTCAGAAACAGCACTGAACAGATCCTGCTGCTCATTTACTCATATGGCTATTCAAACAGAATCTTTTCTTACTAGTTATGCATCCCCCAAAGGCACTGGACATGGCAAACTGGTACCCAAAAGACTGAAACAACTCAGATGGCAGCAAAAATGACCCAACTGCAATGAAGGCTGTAAAGGTCTCATGGTCTCCAAGAGACCCCCAGGGGAAGAGGGCTAAGAGAAGTTAACCTGTGCTGCTGAAAGGTCTGTGTTTAGGAGTAAGAGTTTTCAGCCCTCTCAGTGCCTTTCCCATCAGTGGATGTCAAAGCCCACAAAAAGGCCACTACTTCCCTCTGCTCCTTTCCCCCTTCTTTTTCTGCAACAGTGAAAACTGAAAACTTGACTTTTCTTGAAGAATAAGTAAAAACAAAGCTGTAAATTCATATGGAGAAGGGCAGGAGATGGAGTTCAAGGAAAAATGCCAAACACTGTGTTCAAATCACACAGCTCAGAATGCTGCCAGTCAGCAGAGGCCATGGGACGATACATCCCCCTGAAACCTGTGTTTTCTGTTGCTGACCCTCTCTGGGGGTCAATAGCCAATCTGGCAAGGAAAGCACAGATTCCCTACTTGAGTCCCACATCTCTGAATCCATTCAGAGCAATCTCCTGAGACTCAGAACATCCCCTGGCAAGGCACTCTGCGCTTCCCGCTTTGAAGGCTGACACACAGACCTGGTGATGGAGACAAGAAATCTGTAGCAGCAAAGCTTTGCTCTTTTCTCCTTGGACAGAGACCAAAAGCGTTGTTTTCGAGCTGGATGGTGATAAAACACTTGGTGGCAGCGCCATGCCTGCAGCCAACCTGGCAGAGCTTAGATGCAAGTCACTGGGTGGCTGGAGCAGTGCTTTTCCCCTTCTCTGCTTAGCTTAGGAGGGGTGAATAAATGACTTCTAAGACTTTGTCACTGTAACTGTCTGAATGGGTTATGGTGAAGAAAATCTCGGGCAGAGGCCGTTTTGCTTTCATCATATACCACAACCTTGTATAAGAAGAACAGCACTCAGATAAGGAACCTTTGGTTTCTGACTACTGGCAGGGCAAGGTGAATATCAAGGCAAGCCTGTAAGGCTCGTCTTATCTCTCTGTAAAGATAGCTATGACTTGCCAAACAAACCAACCCACCAAAGGAGAGTCTCAGCATTACTTAATGCTTTCATGTCTCTGCATGGTCAGAGCCACCTCTGCTCCTCTGCAGCCCCACAAGCTCCACTCTGCAGGACACAAAATGCAGCACAATACCTGCCCATTAAACATACAGGGTGGCTGGGGAGAAGGTCTAGGAAAGAGATACCAAAAGCTTGCTAATGTCCCTGAGGATGGATGGACCCTCCACAGCCACATCCTCCTCCATGCCCAGCCCCGATACGGCCCCACCAGCCTCTGCGTTTTCCTCCCCTCCTCCATTAAAAGGAGGATGATGCCTTCCTCCCAGGGGATGTGAGAATGAGTCACTTCAGCTAAGCTGGTGTAGAAACTGAGTTAGAGGGCAACTTCCATTTGTACTGGGGTCCTTATTCAGCTGGCAGAAACTTGTGTGCTACCCCACCACAAGCAGCAGTGCAACAGGTTACCTGGATCCAGCACCTTCTGCTCTTTTGGCCACACACTCAGGGCAAGGGAGGCATTTTAGGAGGAGTTAATTAAGTGAGAAACCAAAGTCTTCTTTCATCCCCACCTGAGTGTCACTCCTAATGGTAACGTTAACAGACTGAGCAGAGTTTTACTGGTAAAAATGCTCCTGGGAGACATTCTGCATCCCTCAGTGGTCTGAACAGAAACAGCAGAAGCATCAACTATAGACTAATTAGCTCCCTAGTTTAATTAGCATTCTTGCAACAGTCCGTAGCGGTCACCCCGATGCTGGTAGCATCACTGGCAAGTGACAGCTGCCTGTGGGGCAGTGGGCTGAGCATCCCAGCCACGTGCCTGGATCCGCACGTTAATTTCATGGGAAGCAGTAGAGTGTTTTATCCCTTGTTCTTCAGCACCGGATGGACAAAGGAGGAGACAGACACTAATCCATTCTGTCTGGAGCAAAGAGAATCATGGAACGGTTTGGGTTGAAGGGACCTTAAAGCTCGTCCACTTCCAGCTGCCACTAGAGCAGCTTGCTCCAACCCAGCCTCGGACTGGAGAAGGACCAGAGATGCTCTTACCTCGGTGATGCGAGGGTTGGAGCACTTGACGTTCCTGCTGGACCAGTCGAGCCAGGGCTGTGCGGAGGGCGCGCTGCAGTGCGGCCGCAGCGTGCACTTGGCCTCGCCGCTGCACCAGCCGCACTCGAACTTGGGGTCGGCTTTGAGGCAGAGCCCGCAGCTCTCGCGCTGGGCTGCGCACTTGTAGAGGTGCACTGCGGGGAAGAGGGGACGGGCACTGAGTGCAAAGTCAAGCACTGAAAGAGTCACAGGGACTGCAGCTGCTCTTGCACTTAACAAGCAAAGGCATTTGGTGAGTTTTCATAGAATCATGGAACGGTTTCGGTTGGGAGGGATCTTAAAGACCATCTGGTTCCAACCTTCCAGGGACACCTTCCACTGGAACAGGCTGCTCCAAGTCCAACGTGGCCTTTAACACTGCCAGGGATAGGGCAGCCACAGCTTCTCTGAGCAACCTTTTCCATTGTCTCACCATATTCCCATCAGGAAGCATGTTTTCCTAATATCTAAATCTAGTATCTAATATCCTTTGGCTTAGCAAGCTGCAGACTGGACTTGCACATGTGGTTCCCACAGCCAAGGCTGTATCAGTGGCACTTAGTGAGCACCACTATCAGTGGAGCAAAGTGAGTTTGCTCTTATCCACAGCAAGATCCACCAGGACCACAATGCCTCTGATGGCAGCTAAAGCTGCTCTGCCCCAACAGCCACACTCCAGCCCCATCACCACCCTCCTTCCCATGTCTTGAAAGCCAACTCAAGCAGACATTACCTTTCAGATTCTCCGGGTTGTCAATAACAAAGTTCCCATTCCAAACCACAGCAAAGTCCACTGCTAAGTTGCTGATGTCCATCCCATCATAGAGATACTGGAGGAGAAGGTTGAGAATGAAATGGTTGGAGAATGCACCAGAGGCACTAAGAGGAAAAGAATTCTTTTTTAAAGAAACCATTATTCTCTGCCCAAAACCTGCTGATGTCTGAACCACCAAACTTCTACACTTCATCTCCAGGGTTCTGCTTTGACTTCCTCTTCCTCACCAGGAAGAGATAATTAAATCAGATCTAGTCCTTGTGAGAGGTAATAGATTAATTATTCCATGCACAGTGGTTGCTCTTGTCACTCAGTCTCCACCTTATCAATACAGCCCCTCCAGTTAATCACAGTGGAAGAACTGCTGCCTTTGGGCTATCTTCTCACACAATCACCATGCACCCTAGTGTGACTGGGAGCTCCAAAATTGCACTGCAATGTTCTGCCTGATGAAATAGCTGAGAAAAGACAGATGGTGCAGAGAGGTCCTTTCCCGATCTCTGCTTCAGCCTAGTCTAGGGTAGCACCGGATCAAATTATTCACCTTCGCATGGACATCCTGGGGGCTGTGGGAGGGAATCTGGATGCTTTAGGTGAATTCCCAGGGGAATCTGAAATTCCCATTCTCACAATGAGCACCAATGAGGCTTTTTTTTTCTGTTATTCTCTTTCAGCAAACCAAGAGCTGCTAAAGAGACTTAAAAAGGGGAGTGAACATTCCCACCTCTTTGGAATGAGGGAATGATGATAAAACCAAAGCAGATTACTTTGAGTGTCCCCTGTGCAGTAGTTGTACAGCTTTAACTTTTACATTCAGTTGTACTGATTCACCTGGCCTGGGTTGTAATGAGTTGGTGTGAAACTAGGTCTTCTGCACAAGTGGTAAGTTGTGAGTACCGAATGGCCCTTACATACTCCACCTACCACTTTCTATTAGCCTAACAGGAATAAAAGTGCTTCTCTAATGTTTATAAATCTCTTTGGATAGGAAAAGTACTCTATAGTATTAATACATTTATTACCTACCAAGCTGCAAGGCCCAAAGATGGCCAATGATATATAAATATACAGTGAAATTGTTAAAAATTCAAAACTTCATTAACAATTTAAGACCATCTGCACTGAATATTCAAGTGGACCCTGTTCTGCTGCCTAAACCAAACTGAACGTGCCCTCTTTGCCCATGGACATCATGGGAAAGGAGAGGAAGGACCGCACTCTTCTCTTGCAGTCCTCCAGCTGGAGTGTGCCACATGAGACCAAACATGGGCTGCATTTGCCATTCACATTTTGCCATCCCTGAGTACCTGCCATGGTGACTTTGGGTGTTCTGGGTTAAAATGTGCCAGGTCCACTGGCTTGGCTAAGCCCCAGGCTATGGAGGAGAGCCACCCTCCCCTGCCTGCTTCCCCAGCGGCATCACTCAGATGATTTCCCTCTCTCTGCTGCACTGTGCTCTCTCCCCCAGCAATTTTCCTTTCCCCCTCCTTCCCTGCACCATGCTGCTTTTCAGCATTACTGCATTCATGCAGCTACTGTGCCCTGGAATTCGACAGCTCCCCGATAAAGGGTCTGTGATTCGCCTTATCTCCCCCATGTGAATTAGCCTGCCTTAACACCTTTGGTTGCATTCCCTCCTCCTCCTCTTTGCTGACCCCCCTCAGTCAGACAGGGAACTGCCAGATAAAGGATCTTCTCCCAGCTGGTGCTATAATGAAACACCTCACATGGCCGCGGCAGGTTCCCGCCAGGGATTCAGGATTAGTTTAACTCCAGGATTAGTTTAACTCCAGATTTTCCACTCTTCCCGTGGTTGAGCCCATCCCCTTCGCATCTGACACCCGGTTTGGGGAGCCTGCTGGTCCCTCACCGAGCTGTTCTGGCACTGGACACTGGAGCTGTTGAAGCGCAGGGCAGGCACGCGGTGGATCACACCTTGGATGCTGAGGACACACTCGTACCCACGCTGGCCAGACTGGGGCTGGGGCAGGTTTCTTGCCTTCAGCGTGATGGGTTTCACCTCTCCCACTGGGATCAGGATCTCCTCTGTGGGGAAGAGCTGGGGACAGTCCTAGTGGGGTAATGAAAGAGAAGAAAAGGTTACAGCAGTAATGGTGACCTCCAGTTCCGGCCAGGTCTTGGTCCCTGCTCTGATGGCCAGGGCTGATGTCCCAGCACATCCTCGGTGCACAGCACTGGCCACTTCTCAGTCCACCGATGCAGCTGCAGGTTAAGTGCAGAAATCGTAGAAATCGTAGAATCACAGCCTACTTTGGGTTGAAAGGACCTTAAACTTCACACAGCTCCAGTCCCCTGCCACAGGCAGGGACACCTTCCACTGGAGCAGCTTGCTCCAAGCCCCTGTGTCCAACCTGGCCTTGAACACTGCCAGGGATGGGGCAGCCACAGCTCCTCTGGGCACCCTGTGCCAGCGCCTCAGCACCCTCACAGGGAAGAGCTTCTTTCTTACATCCAACCTAAATCTCCACTGTTTAAGTTTGAACCCCTTGCCCCTTGTCCTATCACTACACTCCCTGATGAAGATTCCCCCCTCACAGTCTCCCTGTGTTGAGGCTGACACTGATTTTCTCACCACAGAAGGAACGCTGCTATTCAGGGAATCCATGGAAGGCACTCCCCCTGCTCTGAGCTTGCCGTGGGTTTTATCTGCAGAGACACACGCTCTCACTCTGCCCTCCTGCAGCAGTGGCCGTGTGTTATCAGCTGCTCCAGCTCTGCCTGAGCCCCACTGCTCCAGGAGGGCAGTGGGCTGCTCCTAATCCCATTTCATCCTTACACCCTTCGGCTATGTGCAGCATGGGATGTGCTTCCCTCTCGCTACCAGGTACTGTTCTCCTCTGTGTTATCTGAGTAAAATGCCTCCAAGTGTGCCATTAATTTCTGGGGTGATGTTAATTTCTGCTCTATCTGCTCTCATCCCCTGCCATGTTCCGACACCTCTGAAACATCCCACCAGCTCACTGCGATGCTCCTGCCTGCAGCTCACAGCTGGAACTCGATGAGCTTTAAGGTCCAAACCAGTTTAACCCTAACCAGTCTGTGATTCTGAGACTTAAGCCTCCAACTCTTGGGACACAGGCACCCCAAGCTGTATACATCAGCAAGAGCAAACCCAGACTGCTGGCCTGCACAGCCCCATGGGCAGGAGGAAGGTGAAGTCCCAGCCAAGCTCAATGACTCAAACCAGCACACACCAGCTCCTGCTGCAGATCAGAGTCTTTCTGCACCTCCAGGATGCAATCAGGAGCTGCTCCAATAATGCATTTTCTAAGTCAAATGCAAACTGGGAAGTGTAGTCCAGCCACAGCCTCACAGAACTATCAATCACCCTGCCAGGCCAGAGCAAAGGCATTTCAGGAGACAACCAGGAAAAGGGAGGGATGTTGAGCTCCAGGAGCAGGCAGAGGCTGCTCAGCAGGATGCTGGAGGAGGAGAAGGGAGGCAGTGGGGCTAAGACGAAACAGTACATAGGTATTTCATTTCACTTCATTCACTTCACATAAAGAATGGGACTTCATCCTTGATGATCATTCTATAAAGCTCAGGAGTTCAGAGCTCAATGCAGTGAAGGAATGTGTAAGGATAGTTCCCCAATCCCTGAAAACAGCCTGGTTTTTGGGTACACAAAATACCACAAAACTAGAAGCAGTCTTTAAGTGTTCCATTGAAAACCATATGAAAATATTTCAAACATCTGTGTGATTGCAGTAAAGGAGCAAAGAAAAGAGCAAAATGATGCTGCCTCCGAAACTACGTATTCTGAAGACTAAGCACAACAATTAAAATATTAAGTACACAGAAGAGATTTGCTTCACTTCTGCCACTGTCTGTCCAAAATCATGCAACTGTAAATTAATAACAAGTTTTAATATTGCAGGAGATTTTGCTATGCAAGATGCTGTCTGCAAAATAAAAGGACACTCTCCCTGCAATCATCATTCCACAGATGAGCAGATCTCCAGGTCCCCATGAGCATGAACTAGGTCATAGAACCACATGCTGGTTTGCATTGGAAGGGACCTTAAAACTCATCCAGTTCAACCCCCCTGCCATGGGCAGGGACACCTTCCACTGGAGCAGCTTGCTCCAAGCCCCTGTGTCCAACCTGGCCTCCAACACTGCCAGGGATGGGGCAGCCACAGCTGGGATGAAAAGCAAAGCAAGACCTGTCAGTGCCTGATAACTGTACAACATTCCTCCCATGAGATCTCAATATCCTCAACATTATCTCTTCATAACACACCAGAAGATACAGGTTTTTCTCAATTTACATACCCAGAACTGCAGCACACAGAGAACAAAGGCTCTGACCATCAGAAGTATTTACATATGGTTTAGCTCTAATTTGCTTTGATCTAATGGAACTAGGTACCTAAGTACCTGTAAGCATCTGACACTGAAGGATTAATCCCAAACTGAAGTATAAAAATGGACTGACATCTCCCTTCCCTCTCCCAAATCCCACACTGGCATCCCAAGGCCCTTGCCACCCTGCCAAGCGATTCAAGTCAATCACCCAGATGCCAACACAAAGAGAGCCATCACCATCCTCCCCGGGCTCCCACCAGGACTGCCTATCCAGGGAGAAAATCCCCGCTTCCCACTAACGACCGTGACACACGCCAAGCCACGTTCCCTTCCCAGCTCCCAGCCAGGCCGATGGGATGCTGTTTCACTACTGGCTCAGGCAAGTACTAAATGAGAACCAGATGCTACTCCAGTTTGGAGAAGGCAGGAGCTGGAACCGCTGCCTCATAAACCCTTTTAGTGGCACTTTGCCTTCTATATTTTTGATTTTATTCCTAACAGGGACTTTCACGGATTAACAGCCAAGAGCAAGTTTAAACTCCAATGTCCAGAAAGCAGCTATGCTGGGAAGGGGAAAAAAAGCCCTTTTTTTGCACTGGAGCAGGTTTACAGGCTGGAAGGGACTGCCACCGTGCTGCTTGGCTCAGAGGCTCCTGCAGACCCTGCTTATCATGGATCTAACCCTCAGCTCAGCCTTTGCACCACCAACCAGCAAACTCCTAGGATTCATGGAGGCTTCCATCCATCCTGAGCGGACTTTGCATGTACATTCTAGGATGCACCACACACCTGTACCTCCTCCTGCTTGAGATCCGGCTGCATTTAAGGGTTTGCATTTAACCTCAAAGTCATATCCAGGACCAACAGGAGACAGATTGGCCCCCAGCCCTGTGCAAAGCCCATCTTTGGGAGAAAAGGCATAAAGACAACCTGCAGCCCCAGAATCTTTTATCACATCATGATTGGAAACAAAAAACCTTCAGTCTCACCACTAGTGGGAGAACCTCAGTGCACAGTCCTGAAAATAATGAATATGTTATGGACCATTATCCTTCCTGGCCACTGCCATTCGTGAGCCGACTGCTAAAGAAATGCTTCTTTCTTTAGAGACAAGGGAGAGGACTTACATTTGAAATCTGCTCTCTAGAGCTAAAATGCTGGTAGCAAAAATTGCTCTGCCATCATCAGAGGTGCGTAGGACATAACAGATACTTTTCTGTTTGTTTTTCAGTGGGAAAAAAAATCTTACACTGGGATTCTGGTGAAGAAGAGGCATACATGGAGTGCACAGTGCTGGGAAGCACCAGGGAGGCAGCTCCTGTTTGTAGAGCTTCATTCTGCACTTCCCTGCACCAGGAAGAGCTGAGCATCCAGAAAATACAGAAAAAGAGGGATACTGCAGCCAGAATATGCAATTTGTTCCCTGATCAGTTTACTTTGTTTTTTAATTCATGAGAAGCAAAGCCTGCAGTGAGTTAGAAAGGCCATTACCGCCTCCTCTTGCTAAACAAACACATCCTGAATCCTCTCATTATCCTGCTTGACTTCTGTGCACCAGAATAAACACAAATCTGCTGGAGAAAGACAAGAGTCTGACGCAGGAGTGGCACAGACTCTGCCTATGAAGTATCACTGCACACCATTTACAAAGGCATTTTATGCTTCTTCAACACGTTTTAGCCTCAAAGATTCCCAGGTCTATAAATATCTTAAAGCCCCCCTCAATACGCATGGCTCGGGAGTAGGACACAGCACCCATGGTTAGTATTTGTATTTAAAGCAGAGCAGTTTTAGTAGGTCAAATGTTGTTCTTATTTGAATAAAAAATGCCTAGAAATGGGATTTAGCCCAAATAGAAGAAAATATACTGTTTTCATACTTTTCATCTTCAAAAACCCAGCTCTCCACATATGTTAACTTGCTACACATACTTGAAAGTTATAAACATAAATGAATCTGGCACATGAATGTAAACCTCTGGCTCCCAGCTGTGCTCCCAGTGATGCAAATTACAGACCCTGTCACTCAGGGAAACACATTATTCTTCATTTATGCTACTGGAAAGGAGAGTAGACCTTGCTCCTTAGAAACCAGACATGAAAAGAAAGGCAGCTCCTACCCAGTGCCCTTCTGTCCTGAGCTCTGTGCTGTACACGTGTTGTAACCCATTCATGGATGAAGTACTGTGATGTTTTTGTTACCATTGGTACTATATGGTACTTTGTCAGACAATCACATCCCTCCAGAAGTTAGGTGCGACCCAGCAAAGTCAGCTGCTGACTCTGGTGGACTTGGATGCGGCTCCGAGTTGTCTCTTAATTACCACAGTTCCCATTTAGATATTCAACAATGTGGATTAGGAAAACAGGTATAAAGAAGGTTTGATTTTGGTTTAAAGGCACATCAAGCAGCTCTTGGCATCTAAGGGCACAGCCAGAGGCCAAGGTGTTGCTCTGAAAGGATTGAGAATTTAAAGGAGTCTGCACTCACTGGACATGAAAGAGGGACAGGATCCCACATTCAGGGTAACTAACAGGATGCACATGGTTCTGGGCTCCACTAGGATGGGCTGTAAGGATGTTTATATATCTACATTCCTCTTTTATACATTTTAAAAGAGACATTTTAGCCTCACACACATTAACCCAGGCACCTCAGACACATTAAAACATCACTATCACAGGCCTGATCCAAAGCTCTGTGAAGTGAAACAGGCAGTGCTACACACCCACAGACCTCTTCTTAAAGAGACTCTGCTTCTGTGGGTGCAAGCCAGCCCCTTTGCCTTCCCACTGCTCTTTGGACAGTAATGTCCAAGCAGGCATCCTTGTGGAGAAATGAAGCCTCAGGCTAAGGAAAGGCTGAGCTGCTTATCTACTTATTAACTGACCACCTGAAAACAGAGGCCTCAAAAGAGCTGCATTTACCCCATGTCAGACACTTCCCACCAGCTGGAGGATGTTAAGAACCAGCTCTGCCCTGAAGACATCTCTGCTTTAAAGGCTCTGAAGGGTCCTGTATTTATCTACACGTGACTCCAAATCCAGCCTGTGATTCTATGCTTTACCTCGGTCAGTACAACCAGAAGATGGCAAGGAGCAAGTGTACAGCTCATGAAGAAGGGCCTTCTTTCCCTTATCGCCTTGTAAAGCAGCTGAGGCTTTGAGCAATTTTCCCTCCTCAAGATAGGAGCTTCAAAGGGAGTTTGTTACGCATCAAATCCCACTGGGACACAGATTCTGATGGGCCAGGAGTAAGAGGGAATATTCAAGGTATTTTCTGTTAAATTAAAGGCACAAGAAAACTTCCACCCCCGTGTGAACGTGTAAATCTTACATGAGGGAGGCACATGGGACTGAAAGTAGGGCAGCACATGCTGGTGCTGCTCGCTCCATGGTGGAGGCACTGCCATGGTTATCACCATGCTCTGGCTCCAAACCCAACCTTCTGCTACGAAGGGAGCGATGCTGGTAAGCACAAATCTTTTGCTAACACATCAGGCCATGCCACAGTGAAAACACTGTGACGTGAATTGTTTTCAGAGAGGAAACTCTTTAGGAAGCATTTACTTCATGTCCTGTGCTAGCTGGAGTGAAATGCCTGTAATAAAGGCATTAGCACCGCACTGTGTGTGCTTTAAATAAGCAAGCAAATTGGCTTTTGGTGGCTGGTTTTGCCTGTGTGTTCAGAGGTCTGGAGAAGTCACGATGAACAGTGGAGCATCTGTATCATTAATCATCAGCCCTTATCAAAAGGTATCACTGGGAAGGTGTGATAGCACATGAGATAGCACATAACATCCCTGGTAAGAAACAACCTCTACAAGATGAAGATGACAAAGGAAGTGCTTTGGAGATGCAACAGTCCTGTGATCCCAGCAGGAACCGGCAGAGACACCAACTCCTCCACTCGCTTCCTCTGTGTGATCTCAGGCAAGCCCTGAGCGCTCCCAGGAGGAAAACTGAGCTAAAGGGATTGTCCTGCTTTACCAGAGACTTCTCAAACACTTCTGAGATCATGGGGTTGAAGACCTAGAGAACTGAGAACTACAGCTGTAAAGCCTGGGAAGACAGCGATGCTTTGAGCGTGAAGGAGAAAAACCTGCACATCACTCAAGAGAAGGAGAAGCAAAGGGTTTTGCTTTCTCTTGTTGTGCTGAAAGGAAGTTGCTTGACTTTGAACTGGGCTGAGAAAGCTTTTGGTTTGTCCCCAGGACGGATGCTTCCCCTTGGGTATCCATTCCCTTTGCTGCATTTGACAACTCTCTGAGGCTGCTGCTGGAGTGTCCTTGCCCCTTGCCACCACCAAGGCTCCCTGTTATGCTGTCCATCCCTTGGTTCTCACTGAGGTCTGTGCACATGCAGTCCGCTAACATTTCTTGCCTTGTATCCATGTACCTTCTGGCAGCATTTTAACCACAAAGACCCCAAGTTAAGCTTCAAGTTTACTACTGGTTTAGCAGCAGCTAAAGTCACTTTTTTTTTAACAGGTCAGTGTGCTACTCCATTGACCAATCTCATTTTCCACTGTGTCTGTTACTCATAAGGGTTTGTCCAGATGCTGGCTAACCCTAACTGTCCTTTCTTCGAAGATTCATGTATGTCCTCACTCCTGCCTTTCCCACTTCCCAAACCACAAAATTTTTCAAAGCACTTTTTAAACCCTTTTTTTACCTCCTCAGTGCTTTAGGACCTGCACTCATTTCAGGTACTACAAAGCTAGTGGAGGGGCAGTAAGGATGAAGACCAGAACGCTACCAGCATCGGAGGGCTGTATCTGCTCTGTCTCTAGTGAGCCTGAAGCAGGCAGTGGTGTGGGAATTGGACAAGACAATGGGTGCAGAAACCTCAGACCAAGGGGTTAGTGGTAATCTTTGATCAGGAATTGATCAGAAACTCCTTTCATCCATGGATCCCTCTGCCTCGGGACATGCAGGAGACCTGGCAGAGCTCTTAATGGGCTATACCTCCTTCCAACCATTAAAAGCATTTTTGGACTTGAGCCCTGCACCTTTTATTAACTGTTAAGAGAGATGGCTCGTGTTCCACAGTGCTGGAACCTGCATCAGTTCTCTTTTCCAAACTCTGGGGCTGTTCACGTCTGTAATTCCCTTCTTAATCAGTTCACAGTCAAGCTCCTGCCATAAATATCAGACCTGCCAACACAACCCACTGAATGGGTCCCACCAAGAGCTCTGCATCTGACTTGCTGCTTGCCATCAGGAGTTCCAAGACGCATCGCTTTAGCTTGACTGACCATTTCTTCCCACGCTCCTTTAAGGCCACATCTGCACCTTCAATACCAGCCAAGAGAGGTGCCCTGACCCATGGGAAGCCGAAGAACTTCACATTACACTGGTTATGCCACCTGCACCATAGAAAAGCAAAGAAGAAAGGGCTAAACCCCTGGTCCAGTACCTCAGAGACATTGATCCGACCCTCCTGAAAGGAGCACGTGGTGGGGTCGTGGGTGCAGAGGTTCCGGTATTTGCACCAGTGGCAGCGGAAATCACTGTTCACACAAGACAGGCACCTGAGGGGAGAAAGAGGAGTTTTAAAGGAGGTTATCACCTGGGGGGGGGGGGGGGGGGGGCTATAGGATAAGAGACAGGCCCAGCCAGGAGCCCAGGCTCCTTCATGGGAAAGCAATTCCTTTGGAGGGACAGTTAGTTCCAACAGACAGGTTTGGGAAAACACATGCTCAAGAGACAGTTTAAGCAATTCATTCACTAATAAAACAGAGGCTGGGATTTATTACACGTCATTGCACTGGTGTCAGATAAGGCACAATATTGCACAGGCACCAGACTTGGGTTTTTTTTTTTTAATTCCTGGAAAGTGGAAAACAAGGCAAGGCTAGGAAAAGCTGGATCAGTTGTTTTACAAGTCAGGAACACTTCAAGTCAACAGTAACACCTCTGCTCGGCCTTGGAGCACAGTGAGTCCAGCAAGTGCTTTCATAGAACACTTTTGATTCACGTTGGGAGAAATTAACTGTCTATGAAACGCTTCTGAAAGAACACAGACCCTTTTCAGACATGGGGTGGCCCCAGCTGCCAGCGAACTGCCTGGGGGGGGCTCATTCCACACTAACCAGCTGCCCCTTAGACACATGCTCCATGAGAGCTGCTGATACCTGCAGTGACCCCCTCCTCCGTCTCTGAGGCCAACCCTCTGTGCCATGTGGCACTGTTCTGGTGACAGTCTGCATAAGCTGTGCCTATGGTATTCAGCTCCATGGTGTAACCTGCAGCTCCAGAGATCACTGTGCTGTCTGGAGTGGGCAGGGATGCACTGGAGTGATCCCAGCATCAGTGCAGGCAGATGAGCATCAGCAAGGAAGCAGGAGTATGGCTTTAGGCAGAAAACTCTGGAACATGAGGAAAGCAGGGCTCAGGGCACAGGCTCTGTTGCCAGCTGGGCAATGCCTCTCACAGGCTGCTGCCACAAGGACACGTTTGAGTTTTAATACCTCAATTGTGTTTTCCTTCTGAGGCATTCCTAGTGACCTTAATAGCTAAGGAAGCTTATTCTAATCATGCACATGCAAATCTGGAGAAGGATATCCAGTGCTGCAAGCTTTCTTAATTACTCATTTGTTTGACCCATTTCAGTCCATAGCACTTCTCTCTCCTGCCCCACCCTGGCCTCCAGCTTTCCCAAGTGGTGCCAGGGGAGGAGGACCTCTGATCACACAGGCCCATGGCCTTCATTGCAATGAAGTCTCAGGATCAATAGGTCTCTCTTCTCCGCTGGCTGAGACCTGTTTTCCTTCCTCCATTTTGCATGCTGTGATTTATTCCTGCCAGGCTGGCTCCTGCCCTTGTTGAACTCCCTGATAACGAGTCTGGTATGATCCAAGTGCTGCAAGATTTACCACCCCGTTAGCACTTTATCTCCAGATACAAGCTGGTGGAAAGGCATGGTCAGATGAAGCCAAATGACAGGCCAGGGAAGATAAATTGCCTTTCTTGATTCAAACTCTAAGTGTAAACAGGGGTCTCCGTGATGCCATCCCTCATACAAATTCAAACCCACGAGGATGCAGAGGAACTGCTGGAGGGACTGCAATTGATCACAGCCAGGAGAGGTTGGTGCTGGAGAGCCCAGCTGAGGAGCAAGGACACAAGGACAGAGCTGTGCACAAGAGGGAGCACAACAGAATCACTGGGGTAATGGGTACATGGAGAGGCACCATGTGGGGACCGAAGGACTCACAGGGCTCCTTTCATCCTGGTACCTCCGCTCAGTACTTCAGGTTTTTAAGCTGTTCTTAAGGCCAGGCAGCTGAATGCTGTGTTCATGGGGGATACATTGCCACGATGCTCAGTAGCACTGAGCCCCACGTGGAGCAGCCCGATGCTGGTGTTTTAGAGCATCCTCGCAGCAGCCAGCACCCTGCTCTCCTGGGCAGCGCACTGTGGAAGGGCTCTGCCTCCTCTGGCTGCCTGCAGCCCATCTCAGCGCCCTCTGCTCTGCCTCCACCAGGGGCCTGCAAAGCTGCATCCGAGTTCACAGTTGCAGGATCGCGCAGCTTGGGGGCACCAGCAGGTTAAGGTTTATTCAGGCTCGCTCCACCTGCACCTCCCAAGGCACAGAAAGCAACACAAGCACCCAGAGAAGTTCAGAGAAGACAGACACTGGTGGGCTCCCCTTCAAATGCACGTGTCTGCTGGATGAACCAAGTAGAGCAATAACCCTGCCAGCTGATCCCAAAGCCCAGCATCCATTTCACAGACTGAGATGAGCTCTTAGGCAGAAGCTCTTCCCTGTGAGGGTGCTGAGGCGCTGGCACAGGGTGCCCAGAGAAGCTGTGGCTGCCCCATCCCTGGCAGTGCTCAAGGCCAGGTTGGACACAGGGGCTTGGAGCAAGCTGCTCCAGTGGAAGGGGTCCCTGCCCGTGGCAGGGGCTGGAGCTGGATGAGCTTTAAGGGCCCTTCCAACCCAAACCAGGCTGGGATTCTGATTCAGAGGGTGTTTGGCTCTGCTCAGGGATGGGAAGGGAGCACTCACAGCTGGTGGGCACTGCAGTTGTAGAACTTGAACTCCGTGCTGACAAACATCCTCCCGGTCTCCCGCGACTTCAGCTGCAGCACCACGCCGAACCAGTCTGGGGATGCAAACCAGAGCCCATCAGTCCTGCCAGCAGTAAGGAGGGAAGCAACAGCAGACACAGAGGCACCCACTCCCCACCTGTCAGTGTGCTCAGCCATCCGCTCCTGGGGTAGAAGGTGCAAGTCAGGTAGCTTCCATCTCCCTGCTCCCCCCATGGTGAGTCTGCAGCAGTTCCCCAGGCTGGGGGCTGAGCATCCCCCTCAGATCCTGCCCTCGAGCATCCCATGGTGCCTGCCTGGCTGTCTCCAGCAATGCCTCCAAACTCAATCAGGCTTGATGGCAAAATGCATTGGAGAGACAGGGTCTAAGCACTGCACTGGGTCCTGGTCAAAATGATTTTGGAATCTCAGCCTGTTCCCTAAAGGATTCTGTCTCCAGTATGAAACCACTGAGAAGCAGCCTAAGACTTGAATAAGAGACAATGCTGGAAATGAGGGCGTTAGCGAAGCTCTTAGCACTGAGTTAATTAAGAGCAGACTGCTCTTCTGGAGCTGCTGTAAGTCTGCGCTAGCACTACTACCATGGCAGCTCTCAGCGCCAGTGTTCACCAAGTCTCCGGCTCCATATAATCCCTTGAAACACAAAGATACCAGCAGGGAAATACAGTTGACACATGGAAGGATGCCAAGGAGAAAATGAGTTTTAAGCAAGTAGCATTTTGGTTATGGGAAGAGAGAATCTGACAGCAGTGACATTAATGAAGAAACAACCCAAAGATCGGGACCGGAAAATAGAAACTACATCCACCTACTCGTGGGTGCTGAGCCAGGCCCAGGGGAGGGCTCCCATACTCCAGATCCACCCCGAGAGGCAAGGCTGTGGCTCAGCCGTTGTGTTACTGTCCAGAAGTCAGTGACTTACCTTGCTCCACGGGTATGGCAGGAACATCTTTTGCTGCTGGTGAAACACACACCACTCGGCTGCCCGAAACCTGCCCTTCCACCTCTGTCAGGTTTCCAAAGAGGCAGGTGACCCCAGCTGACAGGTCCGGAGCATCACTCACGAGCAGGCTGAGCTGCAGGCAGGGAGCGGAGCAGCAGCAGGAGACAAAACACAGCCAGGAACCTGTTAGCAGGCAGAGCTGCCCCAGTTGCCTTTGTATTTTCAGCATCTGCTGCTTCCGCATTCAGTACTGATCCCCCTACATGACCCATCCACCCACAGGAGCTGGCCAGCTGGCCTTCATGGGAAGCAGAGGTGGAAGCCAGCCAAGGATGAAGGTTCTTTACTGCTACAAACCCACCTTGCTGAGCCTGGGGGGTCTGCGGTTCAGGAGAGGTGGCAAATGCAGGCTTCTGTCCCCCTGGTTGCTCTACAGAAACACTGCCACCCTCACACCCGTGTCAGAAACATGTGACAGCAGCAGCAGCACGTTGCCCTCTCATGCATGAGAGAGCAGTGACTGCCCCACAACAGCCTCCTGCATGCACAGGAGATCCAGCCCTGCCTGAGGCTCGTGTGGCCATCAGAAGCAAGTCCCCACTGATCCCATCATGACTGGGGACAGTGGCCATGAAAAACCCATGTGGGAAGGGCTGAGTGGCCTCCCAGAGCCCCACACCATCCATCACTGAGTGCCGGCGGGGAGCAGGCAGGGGCTGCAGCAGGACCAGCTGCCAGGGGGTGCTGGGAGGCTCTGAGAGCAACAGCTGGGATGCTTCATTGAGCCAGGCCTGAGCACAGCTCACAGATGAGCTTTGGGGGAAACAAAGCCTTTCCTTTCAACAGCTCATGAAACCAGACCAAGAGAAATGTGAGCTGAGGCCTAAGGGGAAGGGGAATTTGTTTCTTCCCTGGCTCGGGTGACCCCTTTCTCCCCTCACAGCCCCTCTGCGAGCCTGACTTCATGAGAAAACATTTGTGCCAATGGGAAGCAGAATGGGCTGCTCATTATGAACCTCTCCCCAACAAGTCTACCCCTGGCCAGTAGCACTTACCGGGAGGCTGTGCTCGGAGACAGAGATGCTGCTGGGCTGCACGGTGATGGTCATGCACTGGCTGATGCTGCCTGCAAATCGGTACGGCTCGTCTGCTCGCTCGCAGCTATCCCTCGGGGAGCACCTGCCACACAGGAGCACACATCAGAGCACTGGAAGAGGTCAAACAGCACGAGGTGCTACAGCTGAGACGAGCCCAAAGGGAGGGCAGAGCCAGGGGAAGGGGGGTATCAGCATGACCGGGGTGTTGCTCTGTACCGGGACCAGGAATCAGGTTAGGATCAAGGGGTGCTGGAAAACAGACTGTGATCAGAGGGAAGAGAGACCACAAGGATCTCATGAGCTATTCCCAGTCCTGCCAGCACTGGAATGCAATCCAGAGCTGCTGAATCCCATGTGTCAGTGGTGCAGGGTGAGCCAGGCATCCTGCCACTGCTTGCTGCCCTTGAAAGCCATAAATTCATCACCTACACAGAAAATAGACCATAAAGCAATAAAAGGCAGTCACAAGATGATGCCCCCATTCCAATTAAAACAAAACCACATCATTCACTAATCACCTCCTGGAGCTGAGGAGTGTGGCGGGGCCAGGAGTGGGACCTTCTGGCAGCTGCTGGCTGGGCTTTGGCTGGTTTTCACACCTTCCCAGCTCTGTCCCATCAGGAATGCAAGCTTCCGAGCATGGCACGGTGACCAGGACTGCCCCAGCATGCCCTGTGCTCCAGGATGGCTCAATATCCCTTTTTTTTATAGGGGGTGTCCTTAGGATGGAGTGAAATTAAGCTGCTTCAAAGCAGACAGAGGAGCCACCACCAGAAAACCATGGAAGAATCAGTGTTTCCAAGCAGGTAACAGAGGCTGCAGCGCAGCACTGGCATCCCTCCTTGATTTTCTGTTTTATGTCATTTTGGGAAAATCCTTTTATCCCACCACCCTCCCTGGGCACAGATGACATACTGGCCTTTTGGTATGAATGGCCTCAATAAGCTTTCAGCACACTTCATCACTTTTCACTCCTTGCTCATCTTGGATCCTATTTCGGATGGTGGCACAAAGCTCAGAGGACCGAGATGCTGTCACCAGCCACAGGCCGCCAGCAAGTTCCCTTCTGACAGTTACTTCTGTGTACGTGTTACATGAATGAAGGAGGTGCTGCTGTCAAACTCCTGCTTTTCCTGGATCCCTGGTGAGCAGCTCGGCTGTTCCCAGACACACACATCAGCAGGAACATGCTGCGTCTACCCAGAGGCTGAGTTTGCCAGGCACATCCAGCTTTGGCCAGCTTACAAGTGCTTGGCAAAACCAGTGCTTCCCACTCTGCAACACTGGACCATCACCTTCCCCAGGAGGCTTTCCGATTTTGACTATGGAAAGTGGGCCTTACCCTTTCCCATTCCAAGGTACCCATGCGATCCCTGCTGTTCCCACCCTCTCGCCTTGTACCTTTTCTTTTTGGAGCATAATGGAGCTAAATATGAACGCTGCCAAAGGGAGAATTATTGAGGTTTAAGCGAATCTGTAAGATAGCTTTAAAGCGAGCTCTTGACTGGAGCCTTTATCTCACTGACTTGCTGGAATGGCTCTTTTTTATCGTACTATTTATGGCAACAGCCCTAACAGAGATAAATGGGTCTGTAGACAATAACACACTTGCAGAGAGCGGCACATGGAAGTCCTGCAGGTTCCAAATCCCACTGGGCTGAAGCAACTCTTCAACGATCTTCTTGAGGCCTCTGCTTGCTCCCAAAGAACACTGTTTGTAGAAGAGGAGCAAAGGATCCTGCTCTCACATGTAGAGGATGAGCTGGGATGGCAGCAAGCCCCTGGCTGGAAGGACACTGTGGAGGCACTGGGCAGGGACACTGGGCTGCTCAGCATTGGCACTGCAGCTCTGCAGGAGGACAAGCACCTTTCCCTGCCTGCTTAGTGCCATGGGTTAGTGGTGGCCTTGGCAGCCCTGGGGTAAAGGTTGGATTTGATGATCTTCAAGGCCTTTTCCAACCTGTTTCAGTCTATGATTCTAAGGTGCTATGTTTTAGCACCTTCTCAAATGTCCTGCACCCAGATAGCCCATTCATAAACACCCTTGAACTCTAAGCATGCACATGTATGTGCAAGCACCCCTCTGTGCACCAGAGCCTTAAGCCCTGACTCAGGCCCCTAAGAAATAATACTACACAAAGAGCACACTAACAAAGCTTGATGCAATATCAGATAATGAAAGCTTACACCAGGACAACTCAGACCCTTTGACTTTTCCTTTATCATTCCTCTCTGTCTGGTGGTGTGGAAGGCAGGACACACTTCCTGATGGGATGGGGCAGTGGTCTGGCCATCTATCTCACATCCATCTGTGTTCAGACATCCAACACGTCACTGAAAACTCTGATTTCTTTCCTGGCTCCCTGCTAGCTCAGTACCTGCACATCCATGCTCCCAGCTAAGCCTCTGGCAAGTGCAAATGTGGATGCCAAGTGCCCAAGAGGAGCTGCCTTATGGGCTGTCCTGCCCTGCTCTGCTCCTCAGCAGGATGCAGCTCTTGGATGGACACCCCAAGCTTCTACTTGGGTACCCCCAGCCCAAGTAGCAAAACCCCACAACAAGCAGTGGGAAGAAGCATCTGGATTTCAGTCCCCAGGTGTCACAGTGCTGGTTTTACCATGCCCACATGTGCTGGTGTTTACCAGGCACCCTCTTGCTCTTTTAAGGATAAAATCATCTCCTGTTCTGCCCCTCACCCTTTTACCAGCCCTCAGAAACCACAGCACGAGCGTCATACACCCTGACCCACAACCCTTCCACTGAGCAGCTGGTCCATCTGGCAGCAGGGACACGGAAGAATTAAGAGAAGAGAGATGACAAATTCAATACAAACACTCCAGCGCCTGGGGCCTCCAAACAAACTATGACAGAGGCTTCAGGAACAGCAAGAGAAACTCAATTATTTACAGCTTAAGACCAAAGCTAAGAGATGATCCTTGCTCCAAGCAGGCCAGGGAAGTGCAGATGCTTGAAGGGAGGGTTGAGAAATACCATCAGGGAAGAAACCCTTGTTGGGAATAGGTTAGTGCTGAAATGTCATGGCCAAAAGGGCAGAGGAAATGACACTCTTCTCTCCTCTTGACATTGAGGGTTTTCTGTCTGCAAAATGAAGATAACAACCTTTACCTGCTTCCCAGGTGGTTCATGAAGATTCAGTTCATTAGCATTAGGCAAGCACTCAGTGATCCTTGCAGAGGAGCTGCTGCAGGAGGCTGAGGCGCGACTCCAAAGACCCACAGGTACCAATGCAGCCATCCCCTCCTACTGCACAGCTGTGCCAACCGCTGGAAAGGCACATGGGATGGCTACCCCGAGGGAAGAGCCAAAGGGGTGGGAACCAGCAGGACTGGAAATCACTTCCTTCTGACAAAGCCGCTGTCACAACAAAGCTTTTGGACATGACTACAGGTATGGTGGCTTTGCTGTGGGGCTGGACAGGCTCGTCGGAAAGGGGAAAAGCTAAAGAGTAACGCTGCCAAGGCTCTCCTGCATCTCCCGGAGCATGGCCACTACTATTTGCAAACCGAGCAAAGCCACAGGGAGCCAGTTTGCAGCCCAAAGCCCACAGGTCCCAAATCCAGGCCGGATTTGCGGAGGAGCCTGTCATTCCCTGCTCCCCCCTCCAGCACCTGCTCCTCAGGCAAGTGGCCAAGTGCTGCTGTGGGGGCCCTGAACTCTGCCTCCACCGATTTCCATGCATTTAACGGGGCTGCTCTGCAAGCTGGCATGCGGCCGGAGGGATTTCTATTCCTCTCCTCGAGGCTTTCCCTTCCTCTCTCAATCTCCCTCTGCCCGCTGGTCCCCCTTCCGCCTTAGGAAGTGATGGGTATTATGGCAGGGGAGAGAAAGGAAGGACATAGACACCTCCTGAATGCAGAGAGCATTTCCTGGAGCTCCCCCGAAATAAAAACAACCAAACCAACCCTTAGCCCTTTGTGCCTGTTGATGTGTGAGGGGCTGCCAGCTCCCAGCCCTGCGCTGCCGCCTCTGCCCCATTGGGAACAGCTGGAGCACAGACCCCCTGACCCTTCCTTGCACAATACAACCACCTCTTCCTGATAGACTTAACAGGACTTGGGTGCTCTGCTCTGTTCCAGTGCAGCAACCTGTCCCAAACCACAGTCCTACTCGTATACTCAAGCCAACTATTGCCTTTACTAATTCCCTCTCCACTGGGAGGGACTTGCTTGGGCAAGAGAAGTGGGTGAAACAGAGGGTCTTCACTCCCATGAATATAAACTCTGCTTTCCCATTGCATGCACAGCACCCTCTCCACTCCTGAAGCAGGAATTTGGTTTCCTTTACCTCTTTCACAGCAGCTCAGGGCATTCAATGGCATTCACGCTGCAACACAGGGAATGGCCGGGGAAGGGAAAAATGGATTTAAGGAACTTCAGCCTAACACTGAGTGGGAGGTGCCTGGTGGCTTTGAAAGCTGCTCTTCCCATCACCACCAGCAGCTCAAATGACCTGGACAAGGCTGGACTTACATGTGGTGGAGCGTGCACCAGCCGCAGTGCGGGTCTCCGGAGCTCAGGCATTCCCCACAGGTCGTGTACTGCTCACAGGACTCCACAGGCACCCGGGACACCTGCAAAGGAAGCAACCACACAGCTCAGGGCTCCTTCTCCTTCTTTTGGCTTTACAGACCAGGCTGGACGGGGCTTTGAGCAACCTGGTCTACTGGAAGGTGTCCCTAGGAAGGAACTAGGTGAGCCTTAAGGTCCCTTCCAACCCAAACCATTCTGTGATTCTCTAAGTAACACAACAGTGTTTCACAAACTTCAACCAATTTGTTCCAACATCCATGCAGAATTCAGCCAAGAGCAGGAAGCACTGGGGTTGGAGCCATGGAGTCACTGCATCCCTTGGGTGCTGTTAATCACAGAGCCCAGCTCCCTCCTGGCGCCCGCTCACCAGGAGCCCTCCCGACCTCCCTGCCCAGAGATGCTCCCGTAATGGAAGCTGCGTCCTCTCCTCCCTGATTTACAGCCTGCTGTCTCACACGTGCCACGGGGAAGCTGCCTCAGGGAGGAAAGCTGGCAGGGAACAAAATCCCTTGGGATATCGCAAGTTGGAAGCTTATTCAGCTCATGACTTGCTCCTCCTTGGCCACCCTGAGCCCTTCCAGCACCAGCATGGACTTATGCTTGTTTGGAACACACACACACACACACACACACACACTGACCCTGGCAAAACTCCCTCCAGGTTGCCTATCTCTCCCAGGCAAGAGATTCCAGAGCAGAAGAAAGAGGGAAGCCCATGAGGGAACACCAGCCCAGGTTACTGCTTCAAATCTCCTCTTGCACTTAATCATACACCCCCACAACATCCCTGTGTGATGCTGAGGTGTAGCATGGTCCTGACCCATTTATCAACACAGAAAACCCCAAAGGCTCCAAAATGACACCAAGCTTTAACCATGGGTCATTGCTTGACTCCAGTGAAGAAATGCCACTTTAACCTTTCCAACCCATCCCTTGCCACTTCCAGCGGGCATGGGATGATTGCACCTCCTGTTCTGACGCTGCCCTCCTGCGTTAACCCATTCCCACTTCAATCCACTTCCATCCCTATTATCCAATAGTGTAAATAATTATTGCTCCCCTCAGGCCCTGGGAGCAACTGCAACTGGCTGAAACTAAACCAACTGCGGGCACTGCACTCGCTCTGTCCGTCAAAACAGCACCCGGCTCCCAGCAGCTGGGGTGCGCGGGGTGAAAGGAGCAGTGTCTTGCCAAACAATGGCCACTTTCATGCCAAGTGCTGTTGACACAGTGAGAATCCAGTTCCTCTCTAGAGATGACACCAATAGGGCTGCTATTCTTCTTGTTTCCTACTCAACAGCTTCTCCTAAAACAAGAATCGCATGTGGATGCGCAGGGCTGGGGTGGTTTGGTGCTGGGATGAAGTCTGTGGACAAGCACAGGGCTCAGCTCAGGGATGCTAAGAGAAAAGCAGCCCTGGAGCACAGAGAAGCTGTGGCTAAAGACCTCAAAGCACTTCACAGACATGGTGGGAGCAAACCCACCAGCCTGGTGTCAGGATCAGCCTCCCTGGGGTGTCTTCCAAACCAAATGAGCACCCATGGAGGCTGTGGTGGCTCTCAGCCACGGGAGACACCGGCCAACACAGGATGCATCAAGGGAAGTCACTGGGTTTCCTCTAGGATGTGCTCAGCATGTTGAGCTGTCTTGGGGGGTGGACACCCCAGAGCTGAGGACACCCCTGAAATCATTGGGCATTGCTGATCCCCCACCTCCTCCCCACCATGTGAGACTTGACAGGATCTGTCCCTGTGATTTATATGCAGCTCAGGGACTTGCTTCATGTTTGTGAGGAGCAGGATGCTCTTGCAGCACTCTATAAATAACAGAGAATTTGAATTATATGAATAACAGTTCATTATGGATGATTTTATGTTAGGCATTTGGGTTCTTTTCCTGCACAGAAGCTGTGGCTTTTGTGGTAACTCTTTAAAAATGACATAGACATTTTGAACAACACCTGGAATCGCAGTTTCTAACCCAGAAGGGACTATTTGATCCTTTCTTTGTGATGCCTACAAAATGCAAGGCAGAGAACTTCACCCCTTCATCTCTTTGCAAGAGTCAGTGCCTGGTGCCTGATGCAACCAGGGCAAAGGCATCACCTCAGCTGGGGGACCTGCTCTGACCAAGAACAGTCACAGGATCCCTCTTGGTCAGCAATGCTGTAGCCCTGGCTCCTTAGATAACTCCCGTAGTCCTGGCTGGAGGAAGGCCTAAGACTCTGGAGGAGAATAAACCACCTGCTTTTCTCTAATACTTATGGCCATGACTTTGAAATTCACCCTTCATGAAAATTAATGCCTGAAACCCCGCACTGCTCCAATACCCAGATCAACATTTGAATGAAGAAGTTCAAAACCATGATGAACAGAAGGCACTGAAGTATCTGCATGCATGAAAAAGATTTGGGGGTCTGCACTATGCGCCCTGCTCTGCAGTACCAACCCATCATCAACCACCCTTCCCATCCATGATCCACATACTGAAAATAGTCCAACCCTCTAACAAACATGTTTCATTTTAACAGGAGAACAAGACAAATCCCATTAAAGAGTAGGATATATCCATATCTTATCCCATACCTATCACAAACACAGAAGACTGAAAGCTCTATTTCCTTCAGAGACAGTAAAGAAGTAAAGCTCAGATGTGCTTATTCTTCCTGACGGCAGGCTGGAAAGCTTTACATATTTTTAAGCTGTTCTCTGCCAGCTTAACTATCATTATGAGACCAAAGCACTTGTGTGTGCGACACGGAACATCAATGCCTGTAGGTGGAAGGAAAAACAACATGGATCAGGGTGGAGGACACAGACTCCCAAGTCCAAGAGCTTCACCCCATACTCCTTTCAGCCACAGGCTGCCATCAAGGAGAAGACAAGAGGGAAAAGGCAAAGGAGCAGCTGATAAGGAAGGAAATAGTAACAAAATGAGACTAAAAAGCACTGAAGGGAAAACCAGAAGGAAAGACAGAAAACAGAAGAGGGATTGCTGATAGTTTCTGGTATGGCTGCTGCCATAAACACAGTTGCCTGCATACGATCATGGAATGGCTTAGGATGGAAGGGACCTTAAAGCTCCTCCAGCTCCACCCCCTGCCATGGGCAGGGACACCTTCCACTAGAGCAGCTTGCTCCAAGCCCCATCCAATCCTGCCCATGAGCTCTGCAGTATCGGCACCGTGCACCCATGGCTCTCAAAGGCTGAGAGCAGGAATGGAGTGGGTGCAGCCACCAAGTACTCGCTCAGTAACCCCAGATCACGGCCACCCTGGGTCCTGCCCAGCCCCGCTCTGATGGCCACAAGCACTGCTGGCATCCTCATCCCAGCATCCTGGTCCCAGCGGGCACCAGCACCTCGCAGCTATGCATAACCAATGTGACTCCCATCTGTCACAGCCTGGTCTGTTTGCTGTCTCCTCCTTGCCAGCCCCAGGGGCAGCTCTGTGTGCAGCAGGACAGTTTACTGGGAAAGGGCTTTGGGTTTCAGGGTTTAGTTTTTCCATGCAAAGTCTTCTCATAGTTTACATTGAAGAGGTAAGTCAGGGGAATGCTCCTGGCACTCACAGCAAACACCTGAGAAGGTCTATCACCACTGCAGGAGTGTATTCCCCACCCCAGACAAAGCCCTGTTGCCTGCACTGAACTCATCCACGATCTCCTGTGGTACCCAGAGCAGAGCTCCTGACGCCAGCTCCCATCCTTGCATCCAATGAGTACTTGCAGACCTCACAGTCATGCTTGAGCTTCTGAAAGTGAATGATGGTTTTGGATGTCTGAGATTTCTGCTCTAGCTACCAGAAACAGGAGGTGAGAGGTCCTGAAGCCACACAGAGCCATGCAGGAATGTTCCAAATGCAGCCTCAAGCCCTGCACCTCTCCCTGCAGAGCCTGGAGATGCCTGCAGAGCCACGATACCTCTGCTGAAGCAGGCAGCAGGTCATTTTGGGGATAAGGAAGGACAGGAGCTCCACATCACTATGGTCACAGCAAATGCAAAGTGATAAAGCAGTTCAGCAGAGCTGAGGAGCATCTGCTTGAAGGACAAGAGCCAAGAAACCAACACTTCAGGGGAACTTCCTTACTCCTGAGGGCAGAACCCTCCTCCCGGCAGCCCGATTGCTACCTCTTCCTTCTACCCATGCCGACACAAACATGCTTCTCAATAACCAGGTGATGAACTCTCAGTGCTGCTTTCCTCGACTGCCTGACCCATAACATCAGCAAAAAATAGACCCAAAAAATCAATACAAGCTCTCCAAACCACATGAATCCACACTTTGCCAGCCCCAGAGGAGCCGAAAGGGCAAGAATCCAGGTCCAAATAAATAAACATCTAAAACACACACATGAAGCCAAGTTTCCATTGTTCATGCTTGCTACCAGTACAGGGCTCTGACCTCCATGGCTGGAGACAGCCCTAGGGCAGCCCCATGGCCACGGCCCACTGCCCACAGACCCCTCAGGGGGCTGGGGTTCAACCAGAAAATCTATTTTTAATGACTTCGGGGAGTGCAGTAGAGATGCCAAGTAGCGCAGTGTAATTAAAGCTATCACTCAGTGAGCCCAAAGTTGATGAACTTCCCAATGAGGTTTTATTCTTCATTCATGAGAAAACCACCAGGTTTTGCTGCTGTGGGAGACATGGAGACGTGTGGGAAGGAGCAAGGAGGACTCATCGGTTCCAGCCGTTAACGTGTCAGGGTAACAGAGCTGGGGAAAATAAAGTCAAACTTCCTCAGAAGCTTCTGACAGTCTTCTTCCCACTGTTTCTCCGCCCTGCGTCTCCATGCACAACTGTTCAAGTCTAGCATCAAGTCATAGAATCACGGAACAGTCTGGGCTGGAAGAAACCTTAAAGCTCATCTAGTTCCTTCCTAGGGACACCTTCCACTAGAGCAGGCTGCTCCAAGCCCTGTCCAACCTGACCTTGAACACTGCCAGGGATAGGGCATGAAGTCCTCCTGTGGTACTGCTTCTGCCAAGGAGAAATCCAGCATGTAGGTCTGTGGAGGACTTGTTGCTCTGCTGAGCAAGAC